AACAAATTAAATCTATTAAATTCAGGTTCTGTCGTGACAGTATAGCACTGGACTCGTAAGATATTGTAGCCACTTAAGTAATTTCTAAGCAATTTAGTTGTCAGTACGCTCTGAGACTGTTTATTAACATACCACCAAAATGCGTGACATTATGTGACAGCCGCAGGCTCCCAAACTGTTATAATTTAGGGTGGCCATATTCAACGTAATAAAAAGTTATAATTTACTAAGTACTTATTTAATCCTACTTTCTCGAAAGTAATGTTATTTTTTTTCCAAGAGCGACCGATGATGCCAACTTTTAAAAGGTCGACTATCTGAGCTAAAAGAGGAAGCGGATTATGGCAGGTAGTGTTTATGGAGACTGTATGAAAGAAGAAAAAAGGCAGAACAGATTCTTAACATATGAAGCAGGGATTTACTGCACATTTCATTGTTAGCAATCTATACTGATATTATAAAGAGTTTGTTTGTTTGTTTGAACGCGCTAATCTAACCACTGGTTTCAATTGAAAAAATATATTTTAGCTGGTTAGAGCATTTATCCAGAAGGCTTTAGTCTATAAAACATCACGCTGAGACCTTAAATAAATTAAATTGTAAAACAGTGGAAAAAAACGGGGAAATTGATTTTACAGCAAAAACAAATTCTCTGTGATAGCTATTCAACTATAAACGATTTAATTTTTTACTTTTGTATTTATATCAATTGTTACAATGCTCTGAAAAAAATTCGTTTTGACAATGATATTGACCACAAAGAAATGTCCAAATATTAATATCGTTCAAAGCGAACTCATCGTTGCGTCCACCGGTATGTACTATGAAGTGAAAATTATTTTCCTGCTTTTCCCTTCATGGCTTACCTTTTACATCGTCAATAAAATATCTACCACCTGAAATTAAAACAAGTTTTTAGTTAAAGGCGCGTAATTGAACAAAGCTATAGCTTAATGAATTTACTTCAAGTCCCTTTACGTATATTATTTATTACAACAATAAGTTTATTTATACTTATTGTTGTAATCTAGCTGTATCAGCGACTGGTACCGCGTGGAATACTTAGTTATTTTGGGCATCCAAATTGGTTTTTGCAAAACTCTTTTTCACCATTACAGATTTGAGCTATTGCCCATGACGCCGGTCTCGTCCCATCGTCAATTTTTGTAGACCATTTAAAAAGGAACAATTCTTTCGTACATCATTTTTGGGTATCTACTGTTTTCGAAGCATACGCAACGCAAACCCACAAGAATGAATAATTTTCCCCGTTTTCTTCATTCGTTGTTTCTTCACGCCAAGTCGCATCAAGATGTTTGACAGCCGTCCTCGATAAATGCTTTTATCAACCTCAAAAAGAATTCTAAACCCGTTCGAACCAGTAGTTGCTGAGATTAGCGCGTTCAGACAAACAAACAAACTTTTAAGTAGGTATAATTATGATTCGTATAGGAGTATTGAAAATTACTTATTCTATTTAGACTTATACATTACACAAATATTGAATTAAATTTGATTTTTTTTTAAAAGCCACATTTTAAGCGAATGATTTTGTCTGTATTTAACATTGTCATTCAAACTTCTATGTTGTGTATACATTTTACATCTTATTTTCTTTATAGCAATGTTTTGCATACCTTTAATTTAAATATATTATAATCGTCACATTTTCAGTTTAGGCTTTTATTGTATAATTAGTTGTTGATGAAATTAAAATAACATAAAATATTCGAAAGAGTGAGTTAAATCTCGTGTTTTGCGCTTATCAAAAGATTTTGCGAATTCTTTTTAAATAACTAAAGAGTGAAAGCCCGTTGCCTCCTAGTGGGGCATGGGGCGAACACATTTCTGTGTCCGTTTCACTGATCCGTTCTTTAACGGGCAAGTAGTTGATCAGACATCTGTCCCCATCCCATACAACTAAAGGTGCTACATATAGTTTTTCAATATAAAAACACGAAATCACGTATTATATAGGCACAAAATTGTAACAAATACGTTCTCACGTTCTAAGATAAGTGGAAACCCGAATGAAATACCAGGAGGCATTGATCGCGTGACACAGTAGAACCACTCTCGGAGTATTCCGATGGGAACCGAACCTAATACCGGCCTAACTCTGACAAATTGCAAGGATTTACTTGAAAAATGCGTTAATAAGTTGTAAAATTGGGCGTGCGTTACACCGAATTGCGAAAAAACTTATAATGTGTTCGCGTAAATGTTCAACGGCCATCTATTATATAACTTAATACATAATTAAAATATATAACTCTATAATAATATGGTAATATAATATATTTAATACTGTTCTCGTTAATATATTAATTCTAAATACAATGACTTTATGGTTGAAATGGTCAGCTGATAACGTGGACTGATCACCCGTCCTACCACAGGTGTCCCCGAAAGAAAATAATAAAATAAATACAATGACAATAATTTATGTACAATAAGGTACAAATTTTACTTTATACCTAAACTGTAGGTAAGTACTATATATAATATGTATTGAAATGATAAAGGTTTATAAAGGAGAATCCCAGTGTTTCATAGATGAATACTTTTAACGGTTTAAAACGTGAAGAGTTAACTTTTTTATTATTTTAGTTTTACCACGCTGTTTTATTTAAATGTGCACTAGTTACGTAAACTATAGACAATACTTAATTGTGTTCTTTTTCGATTTTAACCTCGAGGAATAATCATTATTTTTGTAAGTGACCATGTCTGGTTGTTTATTGTTATAATAGGTATATAATAGTTCTCTTTTTATAGAAATATGTACTTAACCAAGGTAGTAAACATTACGCATTACTTTTTTTAAATAAAACGCTTTTAACGGTTTAAAACGCGAAACGTACCTGTTATTGATGCACTTATATTTTTAATCGAACTACCTCGAACACACTACAGCAATCGTTGCTAAGCGACGGTGTAACAGGCGGCCGTGCCAAGTTGCAATTATGAAATTTTAGGCTATCATTTCGGGGCATGGGGCTAGGTTAGGCCCAGTCGTGACTTTCCAAACACGACCTCATGAATCGTTTGACGTAGGCCTCTTTGATCTGAGCGGGGGTTGGCGCCTAAATTTCACAAATTATAGGTACGCCGGGAATCACTGGAAGACGTAAAGGTCAAGACGTGAGATTTAAGAATTATAAATACTGTATTTCTATACGACTGGGAGATTATCGTTTAGTGTTTTATTGCTTTAATACATGTTCATATAAATCTGTCGGGTCCAGAATATTTTGAAATAGCGAGATTATGTTGCTAGCGTTACATTAGATACATGGCTAGATATATGGCTGGTTATCCTTTACCTACTATCTAGTGAACCAAGTAATCCCAAGTGAAGTAAAAATCATCGTCTATTTCATAGAAATATGTCATTGTTCTGAATAGTTAGTATATATTATTTTCTGCTAAGGTTTCAGCAACATTGATATCAATGGCTATGAACCATAGCCGCTGGAGTGTGTACGAGTAACAAAGATCCATAGATCCTCACAGACTACATTAATCTTATATCATTCTTCAGACAACGTAACCGCGTAATTGTTTGTTTGTAAAGTGCGGAATTTTTTTATTATCTTTAAATATTTTTTCTAAAAAGAATAAATATTAAGCCTATACGGATACCAAGTTAAAATAAAACGTAGCATTCAATACTTAGAATGAACGGGTTTGTACGTGAAAATTAGTTAGAGATTTTCTCTCAATCTAGACCTCAGAAAGTCTGGACACAAAGTGAAGTGAATTGAAGTAGAAATATGAAAATAGCGTCCACAAACCCACTGTCAACAGATGTAAGTGTAAGCCGTTTCCCGTTTCCGTTTCAGTCTTAAAACACAGAGTTTCAGATTTATTCTTACAGATATGTTTTCGACATCTTAAACCGTTTTCGCAGCGCACACAATCGAAACCCGAAAAAATAATTTTCCTATTTTTTCCACATTTTCCTCTGTCTTTCTCTCCCGTTGGTCGGCTGATACAAACAAACTCTTTAGCTTTATTACACCACCTTCCTTCGAGTGATACCTAGCTCCTCATTTAAAAGCTAGCTGCTCTATAACAATAGCAAAAATCGCGTACCAATAATTTGTATTGAATGGCCACTAATAGTTAGTATCAATAAGTAAGTATTCAGAATAGTAATAACAACGTTTACTAACTCAGATGGTAGATAAGATGGGCCGACTTATTGAAATTATAGGTTCGTACACCTTACATCTATTTATTTGATAAACTTCGATGAATTTTTTAAATTATCGGTTTGAGTTTTAGACCTGAGTCATGGGTCATTTAGTTTCGGTGGTTTAAACTTTATAGGCGAGAATCAAGAGATTTGAAGGATTTCACGATTTTGTAAATTGAGGACGTTGGCTCAAAGATATCTGGCATTTAGTGTTATTTTTAAAAAACTTAAGTGAAAACTATAATATCGATAGTTACAACAGAAAAGGGATGGTTTATTCTTCATCGAAATTAATTAGTTGTCGGGTCCACTTTCCTTTCGCTATAATAGTTAATAGGTTTATTATTCATGCTTAAAAGTAATTAGGAAATAACTTTATTCTTCATATAGTTATATTATTAAAAACAAAGTGAAAAAATAAAGTTTATTTTTTGAGTATACTCGTATCTAAACATTTTTTAACGCCATCTCGTGTCCATAAAAGTCTACAACCTGACGGGCTCTTAAATAATGATACTGTTAGCAGATAGATGTCGCTAAACTAGTTATTTTAGTATTAAAATCATTAATTTTCATCTCAATGAACCTATCATGTTTATTTTTTTATTATAATTATAATTAAAAATATATGATTTTTAAAATACAATGAGATTTATGCAAGCACAGACCAGTAAATTGTCAAGAAGCGTGATACTGAATGTTATTTGTCAAAATCCTTTTGAAAATTTGTTTGTCATTCCTTGAGAAACTGTTTGTAATCCTAATTTCTGCAACTCTAAAGAAACTTAAATTAGTTAACATGGCTCTTTTAGATATGTGCCGTCTCGACGAGAAAATTAATCTCAAGCCGGCTGACTCCCTCGCCACTTTCCAGAACGATGTAGTAGGTTACACTCAGAACTTCTTCAATAGCACTCAACTTGCAACTCCGCCGTTTGCTAACGTAAGTACAGATTAATTCGGTGTAATTACGAAATTTTGTGTAAAAAAAACCATTAAATTTTTCTATTATTTTTCAGCCAGTTGAGACTTTGGCACAATTCAATACAAAAGATGAGACCGGACGTCAGATTAAAATTGAATTTGACCACGGTACTACTACCTTAGGATTTCGTTACAAAGTAAGTCAATGTCTATTTTATTACTCAGGGCGCCGACTGGGGCAAAGGCCCAGGCATGCAAAGCCTATGCTCAGTACATACCATTAGTCACTACTGTACCCAGAAAATTCTGCTGTATAAAAGCTTCTGACAGGTTGGGTTATAGTTAAAATGAAATAATATTTGTGTAAAAATGTTTAAAAAATTATAAACTAGTCAAAGTCATGTTCTTATTCCAGGGAGGTGTATTGTTAGCTGTAGACTCCAGAGCGACGGGTGGTCAGTTCATTGGTTCACAGTCTATGAAGAAGATTGTGGAAATAAATGACTATCTCCTTGGTAAATAATTATTCCAAGTTCCTTTACAAACTCATCTTGCAATTTATAATTACAAAATAGATAGTGATATCTTGTATATTTTGTCGGAATACTTAACTTGAAACTATTTATATAGTTCATTACTTATTACTCGTATTATTGGATTAAAGGTACATTGGCTGGGGGTGCAGCAGATTGTGTCTACTGGGACAGAGTGCTCGCTAAGCAATGTAGACTTTATGAGCTAAGAAATAGAGAGAGAATCTCCGTGGCCGCTGCTAGTAAGCTGATGGCAAACATGGTTTACAACTACAAAGGAATGGGTCTAAGCATGGGTATGATGCTTGCCGGAATTGATAAGCGGGTAAGAAAAGTTTTAAAGAAATGTTAGTGTTGTTTTCCTTCTCATCAAGCATGAGAAAGGCTCCTATGATCTTGCCTTTTTGCCCTTAAACAATTTAATCTTTGGTCCCTTTTTGAAGTTCATATTTATTTAAAACATTTCCTTTTACAAGAATACTATTTCTTTAGAGTTATAGTAAGATAGTTTAAGCTAATTGTATGGTCCAAGACTAAAGTCTATAAACACTTATGACATGGTAAGGTATGCAAAACAGAAGTACTTAAGAAATTAATTGATTGCTAATTGTATAATACAAAACTTTCAGGGTGCACAATTATACTATGTAGACAGTGAGGGAACTCGCACTCCAGGAAAGGTGTTCTCAGTCGGATCAGGATCGGTGTATGCTTTTGGTGTTTTGGACTCTGGCTACCGCTGGGACCTTGAGGATGTGGAAGCTCAAGGTACTTAAATACATCAACTATGTTTTGACTTGCTTGCATAATGAAAGAGTAATATGACAAAAAACATTTGCATTTATGATGTTACTATTCTTCTGATCTTTTGGTGATTCATCAAGTGAATTATATTGTAAAATTCATAAAATGTCCTATCACTATTAACAGAGCTGTGACTCGTACCAACGGATAATTAGCTTGAGTTTGTCGTTTGAGTCTCACTATGTCATGTTTTAGTAGTTATAAACCAATTTTTAAATTGCTCTACTGTTTGATAGAGCTGGGACGTCGGGCAATCTACCACGCAACTCATCGCGATGCCTACTCTGGAGGTATTATCCGGGTGTACCACATCAATGACAATGGATGGGTCAACATTTCAAATGAGGATTGCTCAGAACTGCATTACAAATACCAAGCTGAGAAGGGAATTACTGAATAGGTCTTATAATAAATTGCTTTACATTTTCTTTCTTTTTTTTTATCCTCCATACATAGTTTCCCACTTATATGTTTAAAAATTTATTCAAGACTAGCTGTGCCCGCGTGGAATAGTAAATTTCATAATCTCTACTACTATATAAAGCTGAAGAGTTTGTATGTTTGAATGCGCTAATCTCAGTAACCACTGGTGGGAATCCGAAAAGATATTTTTGTGTTGGTGAGATCGTATCGAGGAAGGTTAGCAAAGGCAATAAAACATCGCGCCGCGACTAATAGGAGCGGAAAAAACCATGTGGAAAAGCAGGGAAAATTAATCATCTTTTTGGGTTTCCGGAGCATATGCTGCGAAAATGGTTTAAAATACCCAAATAATATGCAGAAATTACTGATTCCCCTTTAAACGATCTACAAAAATGTTCATGGCAGTACATAATATGTCTCTCTTTTGAGATTAACTTGTAAGAACAACGGGACGCGACCGATGTCGTGTCCCGTTGTGGACGTAATAGCTTATATTTTTAAAGACGAATAGCTTATATTTTAATGTGGACGTAATAGCTTATATTTTTAAGGACGAAGTGGTGTGCAAAAATAAATTTGGAGGTCCAAAAGAACTATTCTTCGCGTACGAAGTCGCCGACACAGCTTGTCAAGAATAATGCCACTACATCTAGAACTCAAGCAACAGCACGGAATGCTGACGATGCCGGTTCAAGTCCTGCCCGAGTCGAAAAGGTTTTTCAATTTATTTTCGATTTTAAGACTATCTAGAACTCACTCAAGAATCATGTAGCACTCCAAAATGGCCACCCCAAACCTTGTAAAATGTATGACTAATGAAGGAAAAATCTGTACAATATACAGAATCCGAACTAAAAGTATATAGTGCGACTAGAGTTTATTAAATAACTTAGGAATTAAGTAAAAGATAATCAAATTAAGGTTTCTTGTCTTCTTCCTTAACAACAACTTCTATTTCCTCCAATGTCTCTTCCAGTTCCCAGTCTTTGAGTGGCATGTCTGTTAGTTTGTAGAATTTGCCATGTTTGCCTATGCCTGCAAATTTGTATTAAAAGTTATTACAGTTGCCATTTTTATTGCGAAAATTCCAAGCTTCTTGGGTTCTCAAGTTATTTCATCATTAGATTTTACTTAAAAGTTTTCCAGGTTTGAATAACATTGAATATAAGTCCTGGGTGCAGCAACACCTATTAGCAAAAATAAGTAAGCTAACTTGGGAAGGCAAAAAAAGTATTAATTAATTCTTTAAAATGACCCATTCAAATTGTCATTTTCTTTAAATATAAGCCACAGATAAATTACATAAAATTGTTATTGTACCTCCTTGAAACTTCTGCACACCCTTATTTAGGTCTTCAATAGCAGATCCCAATAAACTACTCATAATTGCTTCGTCTCTCATACTTTCTTCACTATTTGGATTCAACTGTGAGTTAATAGCTGCTAATTTGTCCATTATTAGAGCATTTTGGGGGAATTTTATAATGGATTTTGCTAGTTTGATAGATTCTCCTAATGCTAGAATCAAAAATATTTTATTTTAATATAATTTATACTTTTATATGCAAAAGTGCTTTATAGGTATCTGTTCTTTCTGTCCATGAAATTTATCAGTAACAAGGATACAGAAATAATATGGTTGCTTTATGCCTAGGCAATGACTTAGCACCATTATTGTAAAAATAATACATTTGTAATACAAATTACCCAGCAGTGTTAAGTTGTAAATAAGTATAGCTATAAAACCATTTTATGAAGATTTTATAAATATTATGGTGTGTTCTGTTTCTTACCAGTTCCAGTAGCTGTTAGTTTACACCCCAGGCCCATAGTACATGCATCTGATCCAGATATTGGCCTACCAGTCATTAATAGATCTAGGGCTCGAGATAATCCTATAAGCGATGTTAATCGCCTACCACCATATAAGCCTTGTGGAGCACCTGGAAATGAAATTGTTTTTTAATGTTTTTTGTTTGATTAAAAATTTGTGAAGCAAATGAAATATAAGTGTTGCACTATAATGAACAAGAATTTAAGAGTTAAATTTGTTCTAAATTAAGCTTACCGAAACGTCTACCCAGACAGCCCAATATAGCAGTTTCTTCAATAATACGAAGATCACAGGCTAAAGCTAATTCAAATCCCTCGGCTACTGCATATCCTTGAACCGCAGCTATAGTTGGTTTATCACATAAAGGACGACGAAGAAGCCTGACCTGTGAAATAAATAAGGTCAATTTGTTTTTTTGATTGTTTACAGATTCATATATGTATCTTCGATATACAGTGTCAACTTACAGCAGCATCAGTTAAAACACTGTATCCCTTACTTCCAATTTCATCCAAATCAAATCCAGAACAAAAGCTGCCACCTTCACCATTAAACACAAGCACTTTAGCTTCAGGGTCTTTATCAAACGCATTAATAGCCTCTGTCATCTCTTTTAGCGTCTCAACATCGAGACTATTACGTGTTGTCTGACGATCTATATTAAGAGTTGTAATACCAGAGTATTTTTCTATGGTTATGTCTGAAAGAATAAAAATACTATTAATTTGCAACCGACGTATTTGGCGAGGCATAGTGACAAGTTTGTATCATTGAGTTTAGTTTTTTAACAATTCCATTCATATAATTATTATTAACATTATATAAAACACTTACTTTTTCGAACCTCTTCAGCCGTAGTTTTAAGTTCTTTATTCTGAGCATCTTTAGAAGAGAATTTTCGTACAAGACTTATAATTGGTTGGATATTTAAATTAGCGTTGGGTTTTAATTGCTTTATTAGAAGTCTCATGTTATCTTACAAAAGTGGCCCAGTAAGAATTATTTACTCGACTAAATAACGTTCTTTAATTACTAGTGATCAATTAAAAATACTTTAAAATGTGACTAGCGGCAGTTTATTTAGGTTATGTTTTGATTTATATTTATTTTTACTGTTAAAAACTAGTTTGATTATCTTTGGTGCAAAAGTCATACACTTACCGATAATGTAGTCTGTAGAATGAAATTGAGCACAGATGTAATACCCAAATTACATCTGTGCTCAATTCCATTGGGGAATAAAAAAAAACTCATCTTCTATTTATCTGATTTTTATTATGTTTAAAATATTAAGGGAATAGTAACAGAAAAACAATATATTTCATATTGATCATTTTATTTTTAATACATATTATTTACAAATATATAGATTCGTTTTGTGCTTAATAATTAATATCATACTATTATTGCATAGGTGTTTTGAATTTTTGCGCGTTTCAAAGTTTTATTTGCAATTCCGCAATGGCGCCACTAGAAGACGTGTGTATGACTATTGGCCCCATTTTTGTGTGGACATGGACTTCTCTTATCTCTGTAGTATATTCGTTGTTCTAAACAAATTCCTATAGGACACGTGTACTTGCTAGTGAATAATATTATTATTTCGTAATATTTTCGAGGCTTCGCGACCATATTCTCTTTCAGAGTGTGACGACTGACGATAGTGACTTGTGGTTATTGTTGTAGATTTCATGATCTAAATCTAATAAGAAAAGTGGTAAAAATGTCTGATTTTAAGGACTGGTTCAATAGTATTCCCTTTTTTACGCGTTATTGGCTTGCATGCACTGTAGTTTTGAGCATATTAGGAAAATTTGGAATCCTAAATTACTATTTCCTAGTTCTGGATTTCAATGCAGTGCTTTATAGGTTTCAGGTAATAGTTCATTTCGTTCTCAAACTACTTGGTTTATATTACAATGTTAATAATAGCAACATGTATATCATTAACCAGAGAAAATAATAAAATTTTGTTTATATTTCAGCTGTGGCGGCTAATCACAGCTCTCTTCTACTATCCGACAGGATTTAATTTCCTGATGAATTGTTATTTCCTCTACTCATACTCAAAGAGATTAGAAATGGGGATGTTTGAAGGCAAACCTGCTGATTATTTCTACATGCTGCTATTTAACTGGGCAACATGTGTGGTTATAGCATTAATGATTGATTTACCGGTAAATATTATGTTTTTAGTAATGAATTCATAAAATAAGCATCTATAATAAATAACATAGGCGGACATATTAAAAGATATTATGAGTCAGGCTGGTAAAGTAGTTAATATATGCACCAAGCTTCTATTTGTTTTGTTTATCCAAATACAGTGTAAACTCCATGTAACGTCACTCTATTTAACGTCAAACTCTCTTAAGCGTCGAAATTAATTGGCTTTGGTTGGTTTAGCTTGTTTTTCATACAATGTTTCTTCTCTCCATTTAACGACAACTCTCTATAACGCCATAAAATGCACAGTCCCTTCAGTGTCGCTATATAGAGTTTACACTGTATATACGTTTGGTGAACAAAAAGAAAGTCATAGAAAAAAAAAAAATCTATTACTTAAGCATTTAGGTGGTTGATTAAGGCCTAAATATAGTCTTCAAGACTCTAGTGCTAGGAATAGGAACAAGAATTTAAAGATGTAGGATGACGAAATAGTTATATTTGATGAAGAACTTATATTTGTGGCTGCTTGAGGCAGAGTGTATTAGGCCACTCTTCCTCTAGCAGTTTTCGGTCACTGCTCTTTTAGATTAACATTTTTAGACTATAAAAATATAAATAAGTGAAGTAATAAAACTGCAAGTAGGCTACTCTGTCTCTAGCGGCCTCATTTTTAAACCTATTAATTTCATTAATAAAACTTACATACAATCTCTATGCATATAGACCAACAACTGTGTCATACAAATTACTTTTAAATATTGAAATGTCTTAGATTTTAATGGATCCTATGGTTCTGTCCGTGCTGTATGTTTGGTGTCAACTCAACAAAGATATGATTGTATCATTCTGGTTTGGCAGCCAATTCAAGGCTATGTACTTGCCATGGGTCTTGCTAGCATTTAATATTGTGATGCGTGGAGGGTAAGCACCATGTTATTTATTATTATATATATATATATATGGTTAACAAGCTTAAAATAGAACTGCTTTCTAATGTATGCAGTTAAAAGTAACATTTTGGAAGTTATAGAGAAATAAATAGATGGTAAATTAAAGTGTAGAAGTTTGTCTGTATTTTACCTAAATACTGTCTATAGTTTACGCGAGTAGTACACATTTAAATAAAACACCTTAACGGTTTAAAATGTGATATATTAGGTAAACTTATTTTAAAATGATTTTTAACTTCGGCCCGACGTTTCGGATGCTTTGCAGCAGCCGTGGTCACCGGGAGACTGTCCCCATCTAGTCGAGAGTCTCCCCGTGACCACGGCTGCTGTAAAGCATCCGAAACGTCGGGCCGAAGATTTATAACATTTATTCAATTAATTATTCAAATAAGTTTAACTAATATGTCGCGGCTTAAACCGTTAAAGTGTTTTATTTAATTATATTTTACCTGATTAACTCTCTGGAAATAAACTTATTGTCTTAACATTAAAAATACAATACTATTGGTAAACCATTAGTTTAATAAGAAAACTTGGGTATTACTTGTTTGGTAAATGTAGGTGTGGCAATTGTAATATAGTTTTGAACCTCATAGCTAGTAAGTTAGATGTGGCATGTCCATATGTGTGGCAGTGTATTTACATCTATATACATTTATTTATAAACTTTAACCATACTAACATATTTTTAAGAATATTATAACTAACATTAATACCGTGGACCTATTAATGTCCAAATTAAAAGGTATTATTTAGTATTTATTATGATTGTTACTTTCAGTGGGGTAACAGAATTAATTGGTATCCTCGTTGGACACTTGGCATTCTTCCTACTCTTCAAATACCCTCAAGAATTTGGTGGTCCTGCATTATTGACACCACCTATGTTTTTGTAAGTTACAGTTTTATCTTTTTTACCACCCAGCTCAAAGAATGTATGTTAGTGATGGAATCTAAAAGAAGCCTTTAAGTCAGAATGTTTGTGTTACTAGATATCAAAGAAAATCAACACTAACAGATTAAAACGCCCTGGCCACGAGGAGACTGATGCTGCAAAGCATCGGAAACGTTGGGTCGAGCTAAAATAATTGTCAAATAAGTTGAACTTCGCGTTTTAAACCGTTCAAATGTTCTATTTCAATGTCTACCATTCGCATAAACACATACATTGACACTGACAGTGAGTATCTTACTAAATTATATACTGTATCATTTTAGGAAACAAATGTTCCCCGATACCCGCTATGTAGGTGGATTTGGTTCAGCTCCTCAATCAAGAGCACCAACGAGACCGGCAACGGGTGGATTTGGTGGACACAATTGGGGCAGAGGGCAGACATTGGGAGGGAACTGAATTCAAGATGGCCGTCTAAAACAATTGTGACGCCATGAATCTGATATACAAATGGACTGTGAAATTGTACAAGTAATATTAAAGGGTCTAAAGGTACAAGTGGCCCCAATCTCTAAAAGTATTGTATTACCTGGTGGTTCACTGGAGAACCAGCTAAATGTTGTGGAACCAAAGCACATGAGATCATTCTGGTTTGTACTGTGAAGACAACTAAATGTAATATGTCTGAGTGTGTTCTTTTTTATTTGTAATAATTCTAAATAATAGCAATAATATACTTAACAATTGTAACTATTAATAGTTAAATATAGAAGGGCATGGTTATCGTTAGATGTTTATTTTCGTTTATCTATTTCTTTGTTATCTAAAAACTGGAGTGTCACAGTATTCCATAAATTGTTGCTAAGCTTGGATTTTTCACACTGTTCTGCTGTCGGTTTACAGAAATGTTGAAAGTTTTCATTATCACGAGTGGGTGACATCATGAGATATTCAGCGTTAAAGTCTCCGCTGAGCCGAACAGCTCAAAGTAATAAGAAGCAGAGAAGATCGTTTTCAGTCTGTGGATTTCCGAATATCCAAAGCCAAAATAGGTCGACAGCGCAAAACACATGCTTATCTGACCTCTATGATAAAAAAGCAGTGATATTCCAATTTTAAATCAAATTGAACTAACACTGTAGAGTGTAGAGTGATAATGTTAACTGCGTGCTTCTAGAATGGACTCTTAAGCTTCAAATATATATTTAATTTTAGTATTTTTTTTATTGTGTTTGGTTAGAAAAAAAACGAAGTTTTATTATATTACAAATCATCTGGAGTGGTGAAAAATAAAATTATTATTTAGTGAATATTAATGATACCGTTTTTAATTGTAACATTTGAAGGCATTATTTTGCTATTCCAAGATTTATCCATTAATTATTTATTAAGCCCTTTTTTGTAACACATGTGTGAAAACTGAAAATACTTGGCTCATTGTAGATTTAATGCTTTTTAACCTTTATTTACTGGTTCTTGGTGATAAAGAGCTTTATTTTTGTTATGTAATAGGTAATAAAATGTTTTAATAAATGTATTTTATTAAAACCTATACAGTATAGCATTTTTACGTTATCCTCTATTCACTCCTGAGTCTAGCTTACCTGCAGAATGCTGTTGCATTTTTTTAAACTAGAGAAAACCCAAGTATTAAAACTGTTTTGGTCAAGTAGTGGACAGAAAGTTGATTTACACACTTGTAAATATTATATAGATATTTTATATACTCTTTTCTATTACGCACTAGTTTTACACTCGTTTCGCCACTAAAATATTGAAAACCACTAAAATTGACATAATTATAATCTTTGACTTTCGGTACACGCTTATTCACCAATGTCTTAATTTTGCTTAGTTGTATTGTAAAGAGACAAACTAAAAATTAGCCTTTTCACACAAAGTTAAAAAATTGTACTTTTTCTCAGTCTTCTCATTGTGAGTTCCTTTAATTTTTCGCTAGCTGTGTCAGCAACTTCGCCCGTGTAGAATAGTAATGTTTTACATCTAAATTTGTTTTTGGAGACCTTCTCCACATCTTTAACTATTATCGCTTTTAAACACGAATTCGGTCGCGTCCCTTCCTGTCGTTCTTGCAAGTTAATCGTAAAAGATATACATGTAGCATCACTTTTTTTGAGATCATTTAAAGTCAACTCATTCTTTTATACACATTTTTTGGGTATCTCGAACCGTTTTTGCAGCGTACGCCTCGGAAACCCATAATGACGAATAATTTTCCCGTTTTTCTCACATTTCTCGCCGTATTTTCGCTTGTTAGTTACAGGGCAGTCACAGGATGATTTATAGCCTATAGCCTTCCTTGATAAATGCTCTAGCACAAAAATAATTTAAACTGCAGTTCCTGAGATTAGCGCGTTCAAACAAACAGACAAACTCTTCAGCTTTAAATATAGGTATAGATTTATACAAGTATTTGCGCTAATAAACGGGTTATTACTTTATTTACATGTTTCAGTAAATTGGCCACATTTCGAAAATACATTATAATTGACATTTTTACTACTCAAGTAGTTAAGTGGACTAATGGCATTAACACGTTAGGACGCACCGGACAATGAAGAAGCCTTGAACTGAGGATTCAGCTAATATCTGTGACAAGGTTTTCAAATAGCACATGAATTGCAAACTAGCGGAACTGCAATATGATAAAAATAACAACTATGTATTAGATAACAAGCAATGATCTGTTAAGCCAAAATGTTTAGATGCTATAGGCTAGGGATAACACCTACCATAGAGTGTACGCCATGCCATGTCTTACCTCCTCTAACATTAATATATATATATTGAACACAGCAAAAGTATGTACCTTGAATGGTTGACTTGCTCGTTTTATATATATTAGGAATGTATGGCTAATAATCACCGAGTCGTGGGTTAAATTCTCACCGGATCCAACATGTTCCTAGTCAATTTATAATTTTTCTGAGACATCTGGAAATGGACATATTAAATGTGTGATGGGAATATCGAAATTCCATCCGACCACCGACCAAAAAGCCGTCGAGTTTAACCGCGCTTCGGTTTCAATCGATGGATTTCCGAATATCCAAGGCCAAAATAGGTCAATCTCGCATCTTGTTTAGATCTTAGCTGGGATACTTTATGTCTGCTTGTCTGACCTCCTCTAGTAAAAAAAGGTCTAGTTGTAGTGAAGAATAAATAATCAACTTGCATTTTAAACAGTCAGCAATTTTATTTATATGATTTAAGTTGTAGTAGGTATCGGACCGGATATTTAAAAATGTTTATTTGTTATTACTTTTAAAATAACATCAATAAGTAAAATTGTTATGTTGGTTGTTATGTGTACTTAAAAATATTAAGCTCGATAGATGCTTTCAGCGTTTATTATTATTAAAAAAACTAGAAAGTAATTATATAATCATTAAAGTTTAAACTGGACACATTATTGAGGAACTTTTATCCTGGTCCCTCAAAACTATAATTTCAACGTCGAAATTAGAAAACGCTCTCCATATTGGGGTCAAAGAAAGTTAGAAAAACGCATCGAGTTGACCAATCGTAACAGTCGTATGCGCATCACAGCTATGCGCTAGAGCTATTTATTTTTTTCAAAATATTTTTGTTTCTACAGATAAAAAAAAATGTTTTTTTTTTTAATACATAACTATAGAAAGTAAGGTTTGAGTCATACGATACAGCTCGTGAGACTGCGTAGCGATCGTGCTTCGGTTGTTCATTGAACAATGTTCAGTGTTGCTTCTGCGCTCTGCTGTGTGAACGCATCCGTTTAACTTAAAAAAAACTTGGTGAATAGTTCCGTGCCTTCAGCAGGTTCTACAGGGATATAACGACTACCTTCGTGGAAAACTTCTTGGTATTTATTTTTTATTTATGACCGTAAATCGTAGGGAGATACGAATATGCAGAATAAAATAATATGTATTTACTAAAATCACCATTATTTATTGATATAAAATATTATATATGGATACACGATAGTACGGTTCGTTAGCGTGGTCTTAGGTTCAAGCCGAGAACTATTATTAATTTAATATTTGTTTAATTTACAGAAAGTTATATAAATAGAAATAATGTATAAAAATAACAAAGTTTTGGTGTATTTTTTAAATTATTATTTTTAAAATTTGTAACGATTAACATTAACTAACATTTATTTGTCATGAACCTATTTAAAAATATAAATTTAATTTTACAAAAAATTCGCTTTTGTATTATATCTTCCTTATATTTATGTGAAATCGGACAGAACAAGACACATAAAAAATTATGCACGGCATATTTATAATTTTCCTTGTCGGTCCAGTAATTGCGTCAATTTTTGTAAAGACTTGTAAAAGTAGCTAGCCTTGTCCCTTCCTGACCCTGGTCATTGTTGAAAAACTTTTAAAAGTAATTTGTTAACGCAATCTTTAAGATTTCTCTCGCGTTTCTCGAAGCTGCGTGTTGATAAATATTTGTGTAAAAAAATTCTTTGTTTATACACGCCCATGCTGTTAACTTAAGAATATATAAATAAGTTTAGCGACATAAAATAGACCCTTAAGTTTTGCCTAAACAAACTTGACAACCATGTTATATTTGGCGGGATTTTTTTTAATAGTCGAACTGGCACTCATATTTCATAAGATATAATTATTATATTTCTTATCTGTGGTCCGACCAAAGAGAAAACCGGTCGTTTAAAATAGGTCGACAACTTCCGTGAAGCCAATACTTTTACATTGTATTTTCTTCGCTTTACCTATAAATTTTTCCGATTTTCATTATTTCCACGATATTGTGAAAATGTAATAAGTATGGAAATAACAACTTTGATAAACTTTTAAGATTATTCATATCAAGAATTTGTAGGGGCGGGACGTTTTAGCTACATCATAAAAAATACATTACTATTGTGTGTTAAATTCCGGTAGAATTTATTTATTTATTTAAAACTTTCGACTTACTATATTTATCTTCTTTATAGTATACTCAAATTATCTCGGCTTAAGTTGATATAGACATTCTGTACACATTTTTGCTATTAATTTAGCTAATAAGCCACACCAAATATAATTCTAACAGATTTCTATTATATCCTGATGTTACTTATGTATCCACTTTGTCTTATCTAAGATTCTACCATTGCGACTTTTTTAACAGCACCAAGTGATCCACGAAAATGAAAGTAATGATTTCACTTTCAACGATAAATAAATTGAAACTCGACCTACATAGACATCGAAGAGAAATGTTATCAACTTTATTCGAGGTGTCATCGAGTCAAAATATGAAAACTTAAGCTCACAGGGCAGTCGTACCTAATTGGGTTGAAAATATTTTACTTATAAAAAGCCAAGATCAGAACTTACTACATTTCGAAATGATATGGTTTTAGTACACTTTAAATAACACACTAGTTTGACAGATACAAAAGTACAATTTGTCTGTCATTTTATAAAATGTCGAACTGGATTTGATTTAACCGGTAAATATTAAGTAAATATCAACAAAAAAAATCAAAGTGTATATAGACAATGGTATAAATGTATGTTTGTTAGGTAAATATTGCGTCACATTATGAGAACAGCGCTGATGAACTATGTCCACATCAACCTCTCAAGGCGAATCATATCACTTTTCGTGTAATTTATTTTATCTATATATGCATTCAAAATTGTTAAGAAATTGTAATCGTCTTTTCAGCCTATTGCGTATTTTTTTTACAATTTGTCAAATTGTAATAAGGAAACCATAGACAAAACTTACATTACAATTTTAAACAATATCGAAGAATAATTTCAAAATAGTTCGCTTGTTCCGTTTTTTTAAATGATTCTCTGTAGCCTTGTCTATACTGTCTATAGTTTACGCGAGTACCTAGTACACATTTAAATAAAACACTTTAACGGTTTAAAACGCGATATATTAGTTAAACTTATTTGAAAATGATTTTTAACTTCGACCCGACGTTTCGGATGCTTTGCAAAAAGTTAGTTGCTGAAGTTAAAAATCATTTTCAAATAAGTTTAACTAATATATCGCGGTTAAACCGTTAAACTGTTTTATTTAGAAGCCTTGTAAATCTTATGCAGTGTAAAAATACTCAATAATAACGTTGTAAAAATTAAAAAGCAGTAGAAATAAATAATATAATCGAATTGCATAAAAATATAAAAACATGATTAGAAACAATACAAGAAAATCAAATAAGGTGCTGTGTGACGACAAATAGCGTTAGTAAAACTTTATTTACTTTTGAGAATAAATTCTAAACGATTTATTGTTAGGATGTTATTAAATATTTGAGCGTTCTTAATAGTTTCATCAAAGATTGTGTTTATCTCATGGACTTCACAGGTTCCTTTTACTAACTTTAGGTAGATTTGTATTTTTAAAAGGACCCGTAATCCTAGCTATACAAGATAAGTTTCTTAATAAACTCTACACTTTTTCAAGTGCAATTGTTAAATAAAAATCTTATTTTACTCGTTGCTTAATCCCAAACCATCTCTTTAGAAGCAATTCCTCACGCACCTTGAAGATGTTGAGTTATTCATAGTTGCAATAGTCGCATTTATGTTGCAAGCGTGTGAGATGTGACACAAATTCTACTAGATATTTAATAAGGAAACGAACCGGTATATTTCCTCAGTGAAACTAAACAATAATTTACTGCTTATTTTGCGATAAATGCTGTTTCCGGCTGTCGCCGCGTTTGGCATTCTCCACTAGCGTTTAATTGGAGTAATTTTATTTTTGCACGTTAAAAATAATAATTTTTCAATATTTGTACAGTCAATATTATACATGAGACTTTAAAGGGTACAATGGCTATATCGCAAACAACTCTTCCGTTTTCTTCTAAATGGGAAGAACGAATTTTCCCTTATTAGTGTAAGTAGATACTAGGTACCATAAAACATTGAATTGACTGAGGCTTTAAGTTTAAAATGTACGCATTTTAAAAATCTATTTTGCCAAACAAACCTATTAGGGGATTAAATGCAAATATTAGGGAGAAAAAAGTATGATTACAAGGTCCATACCTTGTTGAATAGAGTGGTCTTCTCTAAATAACCCTTGTTAGAAAATAAAATAACAATTACATATCATCGGGTGACCTGCGAAGCTTAACAATACAAATTATAATAATGTTTGTTTTGATTAATGGAGATATATTTTTAATACTTGATACTATATATATTTAACTTCCATCATTCCGATAACTGAACAACTTTTACTATCTAAATTCTTATTAAATGTAATTTGTAATGTCTATCATTTATGTAGTTAACGCGGGCGTTACTTAAAAGAGGTTCCACACTTCCACAGGATTCCGTGGCCGCTTAAAAATTCCTGCCCGTGTATTTTTAATGTAAATACATTATGATTTTTTTCATACTTTATGTTATTGTACATAACATGTGATTAATGATAAAGTTTGCAAACGTATGTTTGCTACTATTAGTAGACACGACCGACACCATTTCAAAACTTGATAAAAAACTATAACCACTGAGCTATGAAGTGCTGAGACGAACAAAGTAAACTATAACAAAATGACTCATTTGATCCCATTACGCTCGGCTGGCGGGCACTTTCTCTGAGATTTCCACTCTAGCTCATTCAGCCTCCATTTATCTGATCTCACGGCAAAACGTCATTAGTATTCAAATTCGAGTGTGAAAAGCTTAATTGGGTTGTGAAAGAGGGTTTTTGAAGTTGCGAAAAGTTAGTGTACAATCGTACGCAGTATTTTAACTCTATTGGTTGTGGGCTTGCGAAATGCAAGATAGGCTTTTATTTTTAGCTTTTTAGTAGTGAAAAACAACAACATATATACTAATATTATAAAGAATTTGGTTAGTATTATTGTTGTGTTGGTTAGAGCATTTATTGAGGAAGGTTATAGGCTAAAAACATAGTGCTATAATTAATAGGATCGAAGAAACAGCGGGAAATGTGGGAAATCAAAATTCGAAACATTATACATCTTTGAGGGTTCCGTTGAGCTCACCGCGAAAAGTAACTAAAACCTATGTATGAAACATTAAATGATGTAAAAAATGTCCGCGACATTAACATAATCTTTATGTTTTTGTATGGCAAAACATGCAGTTATTACAAACATAAATAAAATAACAAAGCCTTCACGATACAATAAACCGAACGACAAATAATAACTTTAGTTCCTAATACTTAGAGCATTGTCTCTATTATAATTATTCCCTACAAGGCACGTAATGGATATCGCGACAAAAGGACAACAGTTGTAATCCCATTTATATGTTAATTCTAATGAGTAATTCGTTTTTGCGATGTTAAAATTTTCCTCTTGACACTCGTAAGCTTGCTGTGCCAGCGACTTCGTCCGCGTGAAATAGTTGTATCGGGCTTAAAATTTGTTTATGCCTCATCTTTTTAACTTATAGATACCCACGACGTTGTTCGCTCCCGTCGTTTATGAAAGCTAATTTTGAAGATAGATATATACTATCATTTTTTACACATATTTTTTGGGCATCGTGAAACGTTTTCGCAACGCACGCAACGGAATCTCTCAAAGATAACTCGTTTTCCACGTTTATTTCCTATCGTTGTCTTAAAGCCTTTCTCGATTAACACTACATTTTTAAGTTTCAAACAAACAAACTCTTCAGCTTTATAATATTAGTATAAACGAATAAGAAATCTCACGAAATATCAGGTACATAAAGTATATGGATATTGCAAAATTAAAGTAACATAAGTAATTGCATACTACTACTAATAATTCAGAAACTACCCTCTTTTAAAAAAAGAAAGGTCCGTATTTATGTGCAACGCGCTGCTTGATACTTGCTTTATTTTATTGTTTAGAGCCTTAATTGAGAATGGTTGAAATGTATATAATTATGTATTATAGACGTAATACATAATTAGCACTAGATTGCGCCAAACATGTCCTGAAACATTTTCGGATCGTAAATTTTACTTGATTTTATATGGCCACTCCTTAAGATGGCTAATATTGGATTTTGGTTCCTGAAAACGCTTGTAGTCTAGTATTTCCATATTTGAAACGAAGAGGAAATAACATTGCGTTGTTTACAAAATCTAATTAAAGTATATAGTAGATATACTTATGTAAGTAATATGTGTAAATTCATGAAGGCTTCTGTATACGAAATAAAATTAATTTTTCGTAGAAATTCATGCTTGTATTCATTGATTTTTAAAATACTTCATTATATCGCTACATATATGTGCCGTTACCTGTTTCCGTGTTTTCATTATTCACAATTTTATTTTAAATAAATACAAAAATTACTGCGTTTATTCTTATTTATTATTTTCAGTCATAATATTCCAAGACAAGTAATGTTACTTGTAAATGTTGTAGTTTTTATACAGTTTTATTTTCAGGATATATAAACTTTTTGTTTAAATAAAACAACGATAAAATTACACTTATTGTAACTTTTACATTAATTAATCACATTAATTTATTTTAAATTAATTACATTATTGAATATATGCATTCATTACAAGTTTACATCTAAAGTCTAAAGAATTATTAGTCCATTCTGAATTATTATAAGCTCCTAGATTATTGCTAGATTTGGAGACGTATAACTTTTTTAATGGAAGAAGCGATCTCAGTATATATATAACAAGTAGTGTATAAATGTTGCAGAACATAGCTTAATCAAAATCGCACCAAAATTAGCCTAGTAGCTTTTTGGACTACGTTATTGAGCGTTAAAACAAACGTCAGTCAGTTTTCCTTTAACATATTCTAATTGCGACGGCCACAGGTGTGTTAAGACACGTACATTTTGATCATCGATTATAAAGGGCATATTTTCCCACGAAAAGCGTTGCACGTGTAGCCCTTAAACCAGATGCATCCAGTACTATGTCGCAATATTTCGGGAGCTAACGGTGAAAACTGGGTGCATCGACCGCCAGTCGGACTTGACCAAGGTTTAAGGTGTGACGTTACATTGAAAATTCGAATTTCGAAAATGTGACCGCAGATTGCTGTAAGTTATTTATTGTCTATGGATAGTGAATAAGTCATCTAAAAATAGAAAACTATAAAAGACTTGGATATACTCTGTTGTTATTTTTTCAAAGATAAGACTTGGGTTAAAATTCCTCTCTACGAGCCCAATATATATTGCTTATATTGCAATATATATTCATATATTGTTCACTTAATAGATTTAAATAATTAAATTTTTCAGAAATATTTTGTGAATCCCAAGTGCTTTTATGGAAGATATTCTTTTGCCTATAAATTCGTAAATCTCATCGTATAGTCAAAAAACGATCTCAAATTTGGATCATACTAGCGAAATTTCAATATAATTGTAAACTTCATTATATTTAATAGACTACAACTAAGTAGTTGAAAATTGTATTCTTGGTTCTCTTCTTAAAGATATGGTGGAAAATAAGACGAGACTATCTACGCCCTTTTTTTACGTTCTTTTATATAGGCAGTTTTGTATGTATTTTCTTCATGTTAATTCCAATAAATAAAGCTGCCTGCCGTACTTCTGGGCAATTTCGATTCTATTCAAATAACATACAGTCCATATTCCAATGTTTTGTGTGACTATGACATGCGTAAGTGATACGCATGTAGAATTGAATATATTGCATTTGATATAGTTCTTGGAATATTAAATAGCAAACTCGTATGGTTTGAATATTAACAGTCTGATTGACGAAATTATAGAGATTTTGTGAAATAGTAACATAATTTTAACGTATTTGAATTTTCCCACAGCCTCTCCTATGGGAGATAGGTTGTAAGGCATTAGACGACTGCTACCACTATATTACTGATTAGTAGTGCTGTTAGCCACGACGTCGATTGTGTCCCTTCCCGTCGTTCTTGCAAGTTAATCTTAAAAGATAGACATATAGCGTCGCGGACTTTTTTTAGATCATTCATTTAGATTTAGATCATAAGAATCATTCTTTTATATATATATTTGGGTTTCTTAAACCGTTTTCACAGCGTACGCCTCGGAAACACACATAGATGAAAAACTTTCCCCGTTTTGTTCACATTTCCCACTGTATCTTGGCTTGTATTAATCATAGGGCAATGTTTTATAGCCTTCCTCGATGAATGCTCTAATCAACACAAATCATTTTTCAATCCGAACCAGTAGTTCCTTAGATTAGCGCGTTCAAACAAACAAACAAACTCTTCGATTTTATATATTAGTATAAAATATAAGAATAAGGATGGACGACTTAACATATTCTCTAAAGTGAAATTGTTGGGACATAAAAATGTCCTTATATTGAACACAATATATTTTACCTTGATTTAATCATCGCATCCAGTACTAGTACAGCCTACAATACAATACCATCTCTTTAACCAAACTGGGGTCATGTTTTCGATTTAATAGAGCCTATAAAAAAAAACAGAGATTTAAATTACGAGGCTTCTCAACTTACCAAGTATAGACAAAAGATTTATCATAATCTGTCGAACCGTTTTGGAAGCGTGCGCAAATACAAGCGTTATCTATTCTAAATTCTAATATTATAATTTATAAAGCTGAGGAGCTAATCTCAGGAAGTACTGGTTTAAATTAAAAAATAATGATTGTTAGATAGACCATTTATCGACGAAGGCTTTAGGTTATTAAACATCATATTACGACTTATAAAAATATGGGACAAAAGGAGAAAAAAGTGGGGAGAAGGGGAAGAAACGGGGAAAATTATTCATCTTTGAGGGTTTCCGTCGCGTGCGATGCGAAAATAATTAAAGATAGCCATAAAATAAATATTAAATACGAAAGAATGATTCCTCCCCCAAAATAACAATTCTACGCGGACGAAGTCGATGACACAGCTAGTCTGTAAAAAATCTTATACTTGAGTACACGATACAAGTATAATTTCCTTATATTGGACGGGTTGAGGCGGATCGGTAAATCAGAATTTATAGGACAACAATGACCTTCAAACTTATGCGCGTGCACTTTCACTCGTGACTCAACTTTCACGTGGTAAAAGTTGAAAATCCTTAACGTAATGGGACCATTTTTAAAACGAAATAAAAATTACTTTTGTATCTAAAACACCTCAAGCTTGTTAAAACTAATCTTTTTTAGTCGAAGATCCTAAATGGAAAAGTAATATTGATGTATAAGTCTCCGTTTAAAAATAATGTTGTTAATATTGGACTTGAATTTTAACCTATATTATGCCTGCTGACTCGTTGGTCTAGTGTTAGCAATGTGTCAATCAATGGGTAGTTCGATCCCCACCGGGTCCAAGATGTTTCCAATTAATTTATATTTTTTCCGAATTATCTTGGAATTTGGATATCAAACGGGTGGTATAAATATTTAAATACAGTCCGGGTAACAGTAAAAAGCCGTGAAGTTTTATCGCGTTTCCGTTTCAGTCTGTGGATTTCCAAATATCTAAAGATAAATTCGGTTGACAGTACATCTTGTTACAATGTTATATGGCTAGTCATTTCAGCTTCCATCAAGTAAATCCCGTGGTTATCGGTCCAAAATAACAGCCCCGCGTATAAGAATTTTTGTTTCATGTGTAAAGTAAGATTGTTATATTTTACTATAAAAGTTCAAAGTATTTCATTATTGTTTTATTTTTTATTAAGTCTATATATTCGTCCACGTATCTCAAAGATAAGTATAGATCAGAACTTTTCAGGAAGCTTCAAAGCTTTTAATTTCCAAGTTTATATGTATACGATAATAATTAATGCTCTGTGGTCTACAGCTTTGTTCCTCCGTGTTGTAACATTCAGATAATCATTTCTTACATAACATTTTGCAAAATAAGGCAAGCTGTATTATATAATATACTGGTCAGTGGAGTATGGGGTCTTTAATCTAGGCCAATGGTGAAACGATCGGGTAAAACCGGGTTATGTTATAAGTATTAAATGTTACTTGTTTAATATGCTTTCTTTGCCTAAAATACATTCGTAAACGACCATTCACATAAATTTTAAGTATATCTACTTCTTTGCAGTTAACATGGCGACATCAGTTCTTCAACCTGGCGAGCGCCTTCCCAATACCAAGTTGGAACACGCATCGCCAAGGCTGACAGACGATGATAGCCAAGCAAAGTTAGAGGCCAAGGAAAGGGAAACTGGGGAGCTGCCACCAGAGCTTCGGGAGAGGGCAAGGCTCGAGATCAGAGAGGAGGCAGGGCTACGGGAGGAAGCTCTGGCGCAAATGAGACATTTCATTGAGAAACATCCGGCGATTAAGAAGTGCAGAACGGGTGAGTTCCGTCCTGATTGTTAGATTAATGCGCAAGCGCATAGTCTTTAGGCTTTGTCTCTATTTCTTTCTTACGTAGTAGGGTGTATTTGTTTACCATTTTGTATAATACTCTAATATATCATTTGTGTCTTATACCTTCTCTATAAATATACATATATTAATAGAGAAGGTATAAGACACTAATGATATATTAGACTAGAAGGTATAAGACATAAATGGTTTCTGAGTTTCATTATAATCTTTTCGATAACTGGTTGTTTCGTGTCCATTCCTTTTTTATTTTAAGTATCTATATTATATCATAACCTTCTTCATATATTTTAAAGTTACTTACTAGCACATAATATTAAAATACAGTAATATTTTCATCCACCGAGACACCGTGGACAAAATTTTAAGACAACACGGATTATAAACCAATATGTGACCACAATATGTTAATAGTGTAATCATATTATGTTAGTAATATTTAGTGAAAGCGAAAGCCCGCAAATCGTTGCCGTTCAGTTCAATACATACCTACTAGCGCGTCAGTTTAAAAGTAAAAGTGCCGAATTTCTAATACTTTGTTAACAAAAAACACAGTCCTTTCCAAGCCTTTCTTATCACAACACATAAACAACTAAGTTAATGATGATGAAGTCTAAACTAGATTTTTACAACAATCATAAATTGTATTGAATACGTAGTGATATTTCATGTATAAATGTTCAATATTATATTACTATATTATTTATACACCACCACTCAACCAACATAACCACTATATAAAATCTATGAATTATAAACCATATGTGTTTTTGACGGACTTTTTGGTGTGATGGTAGCAATGTATGGCATATCAACGGGTTGTGGGTTCGATGCTTTGGGAATCCAACATTTTTCTAAATATTCTGAAACACATTGGACTTCGTCTGGAAATATTAAACGGGTGGTAGGAATAGGAAAGCAACTTCACAAGATATTTAATTTCAGACGCACCATTCCTACTCCGATTTCTCCGCACAAAGAAGTACTCCATACCACAAGCGTGTTCCATGCTGGAGAGATATTTGACGATCCGCCAAATGTACCCACAGTGGTTCCAGAAACTGGACCCCCTAGACCCAAAGTTGGCAGCTGTTATAGACGCGGGGTATCTCGTACCGTTGCCAAAGAGGGATTCGGAGGGAAGACGGGTTGTGTTGTCTTGCATGGGTATGTGCTTTACTATAATATGAGGCAGAATGGCCTAATAACAAAAAACATGATTTTCAATATCGAGGAAAATAAAAATACGCAATTAACTTAGGCGAAAATGAATTTGTACTATTGTTTGTGTAAGAATTATGTTAACAATTTTCGGTCACTGTGCTCTTGTAGATGAACATTTTACAACTATAAAAATTATAAGACAAGTCATAAAATTGCAGTTAGGCTACTCTGGCTCTAGCAGCCTCATATGTGATATATACCTCGGTAGTCCGGACGACTTTTTCGTGATCCCTGCAGTCTGGCCAGTCAAAGGTCGCGGGGTCATTAGTCGTCAAGCCAGTCTTTTTAAAATACGCTGAATATAATGAAATTTGATAGTCACGAAGTTGTGTTTGCTCATCGACTTAAAGACGCCCAGTCTTTAAGTTCCATTCAGTTTTAATAAGAAGTGAATAATTTTAACATTAACGTGAACTAACTATGTTATGTTACCTACTATGCAATTACAAAGTCGCCATTTTGGATATATTATGTATTCATGTTTGTATTAATAATTTAATTTAAAAAACAAAGCTAAACAAAAAAAAAATTAAACCCACATAATATAATCTTTGTTCTTATTAAAGGGCTGGTAGGAATATCGAAGTTCCGTTCAGAATACATCCACCGTCCACAAATGACAAAAACCGTCAAGTTTAATCGCATTTCGGTGTCTGTCTATTGATTTACGAATATCCAAATAAGTATAAAATGGGACAAAAACGCATCTTGCTTAGATGTTTTATAGCTAGGAGGTTTCAATAATAATAAATTCAATCGAATAAAACGAGGCTCTACTGTATATATATATAGTTGTTTTTCTCTAATTTGTCCTTCTGATGTATTAAATTGCGTTTTAATCTCTCTTTAACATTATCCAGGTCGCTTTGACCCCCATCTGTACGACAGCTGTGTGATGGCACGGATTCACTCGATGATCGTTGAATTACTACTGGACGAGCCCCGATCCCAACTATTGGGTTACACGCACGTCAATGATGAGGCTGGTATGCAAATGCCCCATGTATCTCTGTGGTCCCTCAGTGATGTTCGAGTTATGCTGAACTGTATACAGGTATTTTTTTCTCTATGCCTTGGTAACAGCCATTTTTGGGAACTACTATATACTTACTAATCAGTATTTACTGTTTTGCCGAAACGATTAGTTTTAATAAAGCATATTATTACTTAGGTACATGTTAACTGCTTAATCTTAAAAAAATATCACTTACAACTTAAATCAAAGAAAGGTTAAAGATACATCTTATGTTTAAAAAAGAATGCTATCAAACTTTTGCTTCAATATTAAGCACGTCGAAAAGGCTATATTGAAATCACTATCTTAATTAATCATCGTTATCATAAGAAGCAGAAATGCAGAAGAATCCTATTTGATCAATTATTGTTTTATTTTTCAGAATTCTACACCAATGAGACACAAATGTACTCACTTCGTAAATATTCCTCATTATGGAGTCAAGTTCTTTGAGTTTGCTGTTTCTTTACTTAGCGACAAGCTTAAGGATCGTGTATTGGTAAGTTTTGATATAGTATTTACAAACTGACTGACCACTAACGCATGGTCTTATCGTAAATTCAAACTTCGCGCCACGAATTCATGCTTTATTTGGACGCCATCTATATACCATAGACTACAGAATGATTCTAGAAAAAACTATTTCATACTGGCAGGACACTATAAAAAACTATTCTTTATTTTTTTATGGTTTGCTTAACGATATCTTTGTTTCAGTTTCACAGAACTTCAGATGATTTAACCAAATGCGTCGATGCGTCGATACTGCCCAAGGAATATGGTGGGACCGTTCCTTTGAAGGACATGATTGAAGAGCTGAAGCGAAAGCTTTTAAAACACAGAGAGGATCTGCTGGCATTGGATGATTTATGCATAGATTTACATGCTTTAGGGAAAAATGATCTAACCCAGGATATACATTCCACTGCAGGGTCCTTCAGAAAACTAGAGTTAGATTAACTTAAAAAGAGTAAAATAAGCAAAATGTGATTGATACTATAGCTTATGTGAGCATCTGTGCTTATAATAAATAATTTTAAGTAAGCAACATTCATGCAAAAGTAATGAGTTTAAATATTGAAATTATAAGTAAGTTTGAGAGTGACACTTGCCGATTATGACAACCAATCCATTCTTATACTATTATTATCTTATCTAGCGATGAAACAGATCTCGCTTTAATTTAAGTATTTTGTTAGCATAATGGATTACATTCTGGATACTGATGTATTACTTTATTCTAGACGCGTAAGTTCTAGGTAAAATTTCTTTTTAAATAAGCTTAATTTTTCTATATAGGTCTAACATGTACCTAGTAAATAATTTCAATAAAGTATGTACTTTAAGTATTAATATGATTATTATAAGGGGTAGTGGCACTTGGCAGCCGTCGGTGGAGTCATGTTACCACTATGCTGGCTTTTAAATAAAAGGAAGGAATATTTGTAAAATGAACAAAATGTTTACTTATATAAAATAAGTAATCGATCGATCAATAAAAAATGATGAGACAATCGAAGTATTCATTTTTATTACGCTGGCTTATTATATTTTCAAATTATGTATAAAATAATGTTATGTATTTATTTACTAATTCAGATAAAAATATAATAAATCTCGTACTTAAGAAGCTGGTTGTTTTATTATTCAAAAGTTTTACCTAAGACATTGCATCTGTAAAATTATATATTGTGAGCATTGTATAATTATTATTAAGATGAATTTATTTACTCCTTTCAGTTAAATGTAAGTCTGTGGTTATCAACTTTCTAAAAGGCCACAGATACGAGACTACAGCTAAAAATGTTTTAAATTTAGTTGAAATACAATACATACAAAATAAAAGAAACTTAAAGTATTTAATCACATACGACGGATACAATAATTATGTTTAAATGTAGAATCATTTTAATATTCCTGAACGAAAAAAAACCATAGACAAAATATATTCATACAAGTTTGGATTTGCCATACGGATTGTTGCCAACTTCATTATAGTTTTTCCCGCAGTTTGGCGTCCACTGATCCAGAAAATTTTTGATACGTTTTTTCTATGTTATTTAGATCAATAAAAGATTTCTCTGTGCATATGAATCGTTCCTAAGTGAATGTTTTATGAACTGATTATGTTATTACAGTGATTGTTTTGCTATAATTCATTATCCAAGTGATTTTTGTAAACATCGGGAACACAGGCCACACGTCTATGACTACTTGTACGTATTTATGCCATTATCGTTGTATTCTTACTGTTATTCGATATTTATATGTGAAAAGAGGATGAAAATATTTAATAAAATCGATAAATGTCCTACTGCCTGAATAAAATAGTGGTTGACTATTTTCTTACTTTACAAATTTAGTAAAAATGTGTATGTTGATGTTATGGGACGTAATGGGCCAAATGAGAGCTATCATTTTGGATATAAAACTTTGAATGTTAGGTTTCTTTGGCTCAAGTGCATTACTTATTGGCTGTATATTTTCGAAGAAAACCTAGATACGGTGATAGTTTCGGGACTATTGAAATATCTTTAGATCGATTACTCGAGGTGATCGGCGTAAACATTTCTTAAACGTAATCCTCGAATGACCCACTTAGTTATACGAATAAAATTATATACCCACTCTTAAATTAAAAACGAAGTTAACTAAACTCTTCTTCTAGAATAAAGAAAGTAACCTTCCATTTAATAAAAGCTTGATTTTAACCTACATACGTTATTTTACGTTTGTGTAGTACCTTTTATCTTGTTTTCACTCGTAACAGCCTTTTTTGACTTATTTAAATGCTAAATAGGAACTTTATAGAATATATAAATACAATTTGTGGTAAATTCATCTGCAGGTATTCACAATGGTATATGATGCAAAACATTCAAAACATACACAGTGTCATTGTAAATTAACCTAAGCTTCAATTTTTTGTAAAATGTTTAAAGAAATGCTTTTGAATAATTAAAAACAACATATAAATACTCATTGCACATAGAAAGGTTCTATTTGATTGCTCAATGCTGTTTCTTTTTCAATAGACTCAAATATGTTTAAATCTTTTGATATACAGATTGGCAGCATGGCGGAAATAGTGTACCCGCAAGGCTGCCGCCCAATAACCGATGACCTAGGCTCTGATGAACTTGTCCGAAGACTAAAGGTAAGATTAGTAGAATTTAATACCAACATCTATAAAAATAAGAAAGTATTAAATTTAGATTACATATATTCTCTTATTAATTGATTCTCTAGTAAATTTATTTTTCTATCAATTAGCCTAATAATGTGTAATATTGAGTACAGGTCTCATCCTAACAGGGCAAATTAGCAGGCTTTACCATCAGTAAATCTGTGTTGTTAAGTGAGACACACAACTAACAGCTCTTCTGTCCCCTAATAATCACCTAGACATTTCAAACTAATTTTAGGCTGGGTTGGAGAAAAGCCCAAGTCCTCATGATGAGCAATTGAAGGCTATTACCACTAATAGGGCAAAATAAATTTATAAACGGCTATAATTTTGTACCATATAAAGTCTTAAAAGTGTTTTGTCTTGCACATGTAAATTTGTTGTAATTTAATATCTTGCTGACACACCAGTTTCAACATTAGCATTGTGGTGTAATATGTGCCAAATACAGGTCAAATCCATTCATCAGGTGAAAGCTTTAAACATGCAATATATCTAGATAGCTTATCAAAAATTTTGTAATTAAAAATACATATATTACATGTGGAAAAATGTCTTATTCTAAAGCAATAACTGAGATTAAGAAACTAATAATAAACACCATACAAGATAATGTAGAGAAACAGGCAAGTTTAAAGATACACTGAAAGTTAGATAGTTTAGTAATTCAGTTTGGGAAATTCAAAGTAATCAGCGGATTTTGTGGACTAATCGACACCATATTATGGTTAATTGAACTTTAGGGGGAATAGGATTAGAATCATAATTTTATTCCATTTAACCGAAAGCCTGATTTAAACAGAAGCATATTTTGCACTTCAGTATATCTGGGTATAAGGTGATAACAATATTAGTTCTTTGTTGTATACAATAAATAAAATGCACTCAACATTCATGTATCCATATTGCCATCTCATTAAGATAAGAGATAACAATGCGAAACTTGTTATTTGATTAAGAAATTATCACTACTCATCTGTAGGTCAGTGCATAATACTGGCACTATTAATAGTAATAATGGTGAAAGTATTACTCAAATCAAATAATTAGGTTATTCTAACCTTAAAAGGTATAATAATAAGATAAATACCCACATAAACAGTTGACGTCCAAAAATTTTTTCTACAGGGATGATAAGCTATAAAAAATCTATGGTTGTTTCTTCTGGGATATGTCAATTTTATTTATAGGCAAGTAGCTGATCTTGTGTTTGTCCATTAAAACCTTTTATATAGGGTACCCAGGAAAGACAATGCTTCCACTGACATCAAAAGTCGGCTTATAACTATTATTATTGCATTATTTCCTTTTTGACACTGGATGGTCAATCCACACACTTTGTTGACCATTTTACCCACTATCCCACTCCCCTTAGAGATTTTGGGTTATCCAACTCTTACCGTGAAGCTAACAAGGGGAAGGGAAGAAATGGAAATGCATAGGAAAAGACGGTTTCCAACTCATTATTTAACCCAATAAATTTACATAATTTAATTTTGAGATAAGCTATCAAATTATAGTTTTAATTGTTTTAAATGTAAGTATCTTAAAAGTATTTCCTGTTAGGTGATAATGATTACAATACATTTATACATAATTCCGGCTATACTACGATCCTGTATGTTTTTATTGTTAACTTTATTGTACTACTTTGTTAAAAACTAAAAAAAAAAATATTTATGTCTGTTAGACAATACTTATCGTTATCATACAGTCTGTACAGAATTCTTCATTAATAAGTGTGTACGATTTTATTTATCTATTTATTTACGTATATCGACCTTAATCAACTAATGTATAAAAAAGTGAAAACCCGTTTCCCCTCGTGGGGCATCGGGCGAATACATTTCTGTGTCTGTTTCATTGATAGGTTTTATTTACAGGCAAGTAGTTGATCAGACTACTGTGCCCTGTCCGACCGAAACAATTTACGGTTTCCCCGGGAATTGAACCCAGGACCTCTCGCGCTTAACGCAATGCTAGGCGGTCTGCAACCAACTAATATATACATTACAATAAAAGCAATAAGTATTATAAATAAGGCTTAAAGCCCAATTATTTAAATTTATGACATGTTAAGGAGTAGAAAATATTCCCTAGTTCTCTAACATACTTAATAAATAATAAACCTTATTTGCAGGCGTTAGCGCACACTTTGCAAGGTCTCGGTCAAGATGAGGGAATGTACCAGCAGTACATCCCGCTTGCTATCCACCTCGCCGACGAGTTCTTTCTCTCTCACCCCTCGCGCGATGTGCAACTGCTCATCGCTTGTTGCATCGCCGATGTGCTGCGGGTATATGCGCCTGAAGCGCCTTATAAGGATCAAGAGCAGGTAAGAATTTAGAGTATGGTGTCCGTTATGGGCCTATATATGGTTGATACTGTTTCAGTTTCACTATCGAGCTTTAGGGGATCCAAAGCTAGTATGGAAATATGGAAGTTATTTTTTTTCTTTGTCCTTTGCAGGATACCTTTTTTCTATCCTCCACGTATCAAAAAAAGTGAGCAGTGGGTTATACACTAATATAATTTATATAAAATAATTTTAACTTATCAGCTATTTAATTCTTATGTGTGGAAACATTAGATGTTTTTCAGCGCTTTTTTTACTACTGCCATGAATATCAAAGATTAGCACTATATTTGTTTAACGATGATCTCTGTTTGAAAGTTACTTTAGAATGGAAAGTGAATCACAGTCGGGTCTCGAACCCAGTGTTGTAGCACTACAAATTAGGCTGCCATGGACTAATTAAAGATATCGATAAGTTCTAGTAAGAAAAAGAAAATTTAAAATTATATCATTATTTACTAACCTTTATGAGTTTAGCACTATAGTTCAAATTCGTAAAACATTGTTTGAATTGAAAAGCTAAATAAGCCTATTTCTTTGCAAACGAAAAACTTTCTACTGAAGAATTAAAGTTAAACGTTGGCAACGTTAAAAGCCTACAAACGCCATTCACAAGATATATACCTGTGTATGTATAACAAAGGCAGAACTAGGTCGTTTCAACTGAATAATAGATATAAAAGTGCTAAATGAGCTTTACGGGAACTTATCAATGCAGCACACACATTTTTGCTGTACGGATATCTATACTAATATTATAAATGCAAAAGTAACTCTGTATGTCTGTTTCGCTTTAACTCCGAAACTGCTGAACGGATTTAAATGAAATTACACAGATATTTTAGAGCCTGAGAAAGGACCTAGGCTACTGTTTAATTGAAAATGATTTTAAACTTAGCAGCAATAGCTGTGGTCACGGGGAGACCACGGCTATTTATACGGTATATTTTTGGTTTTCTAACAAAATCTCTAAAGTACGCAAATTAGCAAAAAATTGAATATTTAGTTGCATGTGTTGCGAGCAAGATATTTACTTTACAAAGCCAATTTATTATCTTATTATTTTGGTCAGAACCGGTGGTAGCAAAAAACTCGATGCCTTATAATTCCTACAATACTAAGACTATTTTACATGAGACGTCTCGAACGTTACAACTTTTAGACTCTTACCATTATTCTAATCAATTTCTTAAGCTTAACGGGTACTGTAGCATCGTAAGCAGTGACATCGTATGTCGATCACAAGGGTGTGGAATACACGCACTATCAGCACTTTCCCCGTATCGGCACAGCTTAGGGCCGGCACATGTGCCCTCGTCATCGTCCGCGTGGAATAGTTATTTTGGCTGTTCAAATTTATTCTTGCAAACCTTCTCATCTTTATATATATGTTAAAATTTAAAAGAAACACCTACCTACCACGCATATTTGTTTCGGAAGAGGAATCATCTTTTCATACATATAGTTTTTCCCGTTTTTTTCATCTTATTTAGTACTATCTGTGCCCACGTGGAATTGTAACTTTGGGTAGAATTTTTAATTATGTGTACACATAGGATACAGTGTTTAACTGCAAAGAGCTTATAAAGGTATTTAGAATAAGTATATCCATGGTACAGTGTATTTTTATATACTTATCTGAGTACACTTTTATAGTTACTTTCACATTTATAATATTAGTAAGTTGTATTAAAATTAATTACGATACATCCAAACAAAAATTCTTTAATGAATAACTTCGAAGTTAAAAAATAAATAATTTGCCTTTTATAAAAAACAACATAAATTGTATTTTTCAAGTTACGTCAATTGTGTATTGGTACACAATTGGCTCTTTTAGTAGTAAAAATTATAAATACAAAATTTAAGATAGAAAAAATACGACACGAGCAGGCGTTGAACCAGCACCAAATACGTTCCGTGCTGTTACTATATAACCAATTTACCTACCGTGTCCTACACTTCATCTTGGAATTATAATAATTATAAATTAAATTACCCTTATGTGTACTATTTTTACATATATGTATGTATGATGAGCTTACATATATGTATTTTTCCAGGTTAAAACAATATTCCTGTTCCTGATCAACCAGCTGCAAGGCCTCAAAGACCCAAAGGACCCTGCTTTCAAACGATACTTCTATCTGCTGGAGAATCTTGCCTACGTCAAGTCGTTTAATATGTGCTTTGAGCTTGAAGACTGCCAGGAGATATTCTGCGCACTTTTTTCGCTAATGTTTAAAATCGTTAAGTAAGTATTTTCAAACTGCTGATAATAGATCATCTGATCCTTTCTACCTACATATGCTGGGCACTCGTAGAAGAGTGTGTTTAACTTGGATTCACCACGCTAGTAGAATAGCTTATAATGTTTTAACTAAAGCCACCACAAAGCAGTACCGTTTATCGTGGTATCCGAAACACGGGGGTTCTGACACCTACTTTGAAACTCTGTGTCGATACTAGATTGTTTTATAGAAAATATATGAAATAACCTAATAACATTTTGCCTTAAATGGGAATTGAACCCTCTATACTATGTGATTTGCAGTGGAGTTCACTCACTACCACGCCACGCGAGATCTCTTATTACCTTACTTTAAAGACTTATTAAAAATGAAATTCTAATTCATATCTTTTTAGTGTCCTTTTATACAGCTTTTACGATACTATACAATACTTATAACTACTAAATTAGAGGACGGATCCTCTAATTTAGTAGTTATAAGTATTGTATAGTATTATTAATGTACTCCGGAGAGTACATTAATAGTAAAAAAAACAAAAGACAATTTGTACTACCACTTCCAGCTGTGTTTGTGAGTGCTTGTATGTTGTGTTCGAGTGTGACACACTCTGCATCGGTGGTTGTAAGCCTAGCCTTTGTATAGTAGAAGAAATGTGAAGTCTATAGTTCAATTTATATTATAGTTTATATTAAATCCGGGATTGATACTAAAACAATACCATACACACAATCATACTCTTGTATTTTAAACCCAGTTAGACATCTGCGTTCCAAGGAGGTCCAGTTTTACATGCTGCTTGAAAGTTATACCTATAGGTATAATATAATATATCCTTAGACTAGGCAATATGAATATATTAAAGTTAAATTAAAAATTGTAAAGAAATTATAAAAAAATACGACACGGGCAGGACTTGGTACTGGCATCCACAGCATTCTTTGCTGTTGCTCTAACCAATTGAGCTACCGCGTCCTACACGCCATCGAAGTTAGATTGAATTTATTTTTTCAATTTATAATTGATTTTTAATTTATACAGTGGCGTCATGTGCAACATATTAAAGTTTGTGGTTATGTTTTCACAGCTTAGAGCACTCGTCAAAAGTGAAATCCTTCATGCTGGACGTCCTCTGTCCTCTGATCACGGAGTCTGATGTAGTTTCAAACGAGCTCCTCAACGTGATACTTATTAACCTCGTGGACCCGAATAAGAGAGACCACAAGTATGCGTACGCGCTGGCCAAAGACCTGATCACCAAGACGTGTGATACGTTAGAGCCATATATACAGGCGGTGAGTTTCTATACTAGCTTTTACTTCCATTTTGCTCAACATTAATAAGGTTGATACAAAGAGGTATTATTCCAAAGCTAATGCAAGCATATTACATGTTTTATTTAAATACCTTTTTATCATTAACTTGCTTGGTCCGCTACTTCGTCTGCTCGAAGATCGTTATTTTGGACATTATATAGTTTTGCAAACAACCTCCTCAACTTTATAAATTATAGTATGTTACCCACGACGTCGTCGGCGTCCCGTCATTCTAGCCTTCTTAATCTTAAACTTCACGAACTGTCGTAGCATTACGCAGCGCACGTATCGGAAACCTACAAAGATGAATATTTTTTCCCGCTTATTCCACATTTCTCACTGTTTCTTCCTTTCTATTGGTCGCAGCGCTATGTTTTATAGCCTAAAGCATTCCTCCATATAATATGTTTCTAACCAATACAAACAATAATTAAAAAATTAAACATAGTTCCTGATATAAGCGCTTCTATATACTTTTGATAAAAGTAAATCTAGTGACAAAACATTTTATCTAGTTTACAAATAAATTGTTTCAAATTACAGTTTTTCAACCACGTCATAATCTTGGGCAAAGAAGAAAAACATCTTATGATATTTTCAAAAGTGTACGAACTAATCTACGAACTGAATCAATGCTGCCCATCCTTGTTGCTGGCGGTACTTCCCCAGCTGGAATGCAAACTGAAATCAGCTCAATTCCAAGAACGGCTCAGTGCAGTAGCTCTACTAGCTAGAATGTTCTCCGAACCTGGCTCAGACCTCGCCAAACAATATCCGGCCTTATGGCGGGCATTCTTAGGTCGATTTAACGATATCTCGGTCCCCATAAGAATCAAATGCGTACAATACTGTATGCACTTTCTCGTACACCACCCGGACTTGCGCAAAGACATAACGGAAACGTTGAAAATGCGTCAACACGATGCGCATGAGCAGGTGAGATACGAAGTGGTTATGGCTATTATAGCGACGGCTCAACGAGACTTCGAAGCGGTTGCCGAGTCGGAGGATCTACTCCATTTTGTCAGAGAACGAACTCTGGATAAAAAATTCAAAATACGCAAAGAGGCGATGTCTGGTCTCGCCATGATATATAAGAAGTTCCTAACGGAGGACACCGTGCCACCGGCCACTGAGAAGGCGGTTCAGTGGATCAAAGACAAGATCCTCCATGGCTATTACATGACAGCGCTCGAAGACAGACTCCTGGTAGAGAGACTGTTGAACACATCACTGGTTCCGTACTCGCTTCCACCACAGATAAGGATGAAGAAGCTCTACTATCTAATGTCAAACGTGGGTGACAACGCAACGAAAGCGTTCATCGAACTGCAGAAACATCAGTTGGCTGTGCGCAGGACGGTCGCCGAATGGATAGAACTACACAGGAAGCCGCCGACGCCACAAGTGCAAAAGGAAATGATAACTAAGGTCCTGCACATAAGCTCTAAATTCCTGCCGGAGTCGGTGAAGGCGCAAGAGTTCCTCAACCAGTTTTCGGAGCACATGAAGAAGGCGCCCGAGTTGCTGCAAGGGATGGAGACCATTTTGAATCCGAATGTCAGCTGTGAAGTCTGCATACGCACTACTGTGAGTATGAATCGTTTTTTGTATATTCAAGTTTCCTTTAATTTCGCGTTTTAAACCGTTAAAAGTACTTTTTTTATTTATCAAACGATAAAAACAACCAAATTGCTTTTCAAATCATACACTTTAAGTAACCCTTTTAACGGCTTTAAACGCTGCTATAACACATCTCCAATGCCAATCGTAGCTCATAAGAAATATATAATTATTTCGCGTTCATTTGACTTGCTCAGTATTTCCTAAATGTTTAATAAAATCAAGTGGTCTTTTGTAAAATTGTTTTTATCACACACATTGAAAGCATTGATTTCTGTACTATATTATTGTTCTCAAGAAAACTTAATATGACTATGAAAGATAAAAATTGAATTGATTTATTTTTCAGTCGAGTGTCCTAAAGAAACTAGGTCAACCAGTGATGACAAACATATACTACAACACAGTGAAAATGCTCTTGGAGAGAGTCAGTTCCGTGATGGTGGATCATGAGTCTTTGCTCATTCTGGTTGGATATGTGGAAGGTGCGGTCCGGGGCACTGACACCTCTATAGCCGAAGAGTGTGGTAAGAAATATAAAACTAAGTAAAAATTTAACCAAAGTTATGACTCAGATATTTAGTCGAAGTTTATGACATTTTCTTTCACTTATGTCTTGCCAACCAGTATTTCTACAACATGAGCTGTTAAATGTCCTAACTACGAAAGCGAATTTCAAATTCATTCAGTTAATATGATAACCGATGTATTTTTGTGAGGGTTCGATGTCCGGCAAAGATAGGAGGTATAATAAAATGCAAATCCAATTGTTTTTATTCTCTGTAGTGATAGCTTACCTTGGACTTAACATTGTTCCTTCATACAGTCCTTATTATATAAGTTTTAGTACGAATGTGTTATATTTTAATACAAATTACTTACTCATACAAATAATTTTCCTTACAGGCATAGACATTAAAAAGGCAGCTGAACGCGGTCTAAAACTACTCGTGATGCTGTCATTTGTGTTTCCGGCTCATTTCCTGCACGAGGACGTGTTGGATAGGCTCACGTCGTTGTTGGAATTGGACGACGAAAGCATTGCACCGCACGTGCTGGCCGCTTTGACTTTCCTTGGGAAGTATAGGCCCTTAGGTGAGTTGAGTTTTAAGTCCGTGGATTTGGATAGGGGGGTTTGGTTTATTTATTTGATTTACCAAAATTCTTACAACTAAATACATTACCTAAGATACAAGTTAACGGGTAGGGGACGCTATAGGTTCTGAAGCGAGAGAAGAACACACATTATACAATTTTAGTGGGAATGATTATTTATTATTATTAGTCAACTCCAATGACTAAATACTATATATGCCTGGCTACCTCTGTAGCTATGGTTAAGTGTGGAGCATTGCATTAAGTCCTAAGGTCCTGCGTTCCAATCCTGGGGAATCAATAGGTTGTTTCGGTTGGGCAGGGCACAGAAATTACATCTACTTGCCTATAAATCATCAGTGAAACAGACACAGATGTGTGCCAATACCCCACAGAGTGAAACGGGATTTGATACACTTGTATAGTCTACATATATATATATATATGTGTTGTTGAATAGGTGAAGCCTGCCCATCACTGTTCCCGAAATTGACAACTTTGTGCAAGGCTTACGCTGAAGTTGGGACACCGAAACAGGCCAAAAATGCTGTTAGGTGAGTTGTAATAACCCATACAGTTAAAAAATTCTGTAGACAGCCTCGTGCTATCTCACTCATTTGCTCGCTCTCTTTTTATCGCACATTGTTTGAGCGCAACAGTACTAGTATTAACAGATTTAGATTTATTTTTCTTTTTATAAAATTACGCTACTGCTACATACAAATTGTTTATCAAACCACACGAGTCATTTGATAATATCTCTATCAATATCTGTGATATCCATACCATAATCAAACAAACTTTTGGCTTGGATTAAAATCTGCTTAAAAATTCGATAATTTGCGAGCCTCGACTGCATGACAGCGTTCTGTGCAGTTGCTCTTAAAATAAATAGCAGCTTTAGTTAGTATTAACATTGAAAAAGAATTGTCGACAAGGGAGGGTGTTGTACCAGCTACTGTTACTGTTGAGCTACTGTGTCATGTCGTGTTGGCTCAGTTAAATTCATCAGTAGGGTGCGTTTCCTCTATGAAAATGCATTGAATTCTTTTGCAGATGCCTTTTTGTTAACGTGCCCGAGCAAAGGTCACAAATATTCACAGAAATACTGGAAACGTTGAAGACGACACTGAACCCACAGTCGGAGCACTATAGGACGGCTATCGTTACCCTGGGCCACATCGCTCACAATCTACCCGATAACTTCCCGGTTCACATCAAGAATATTGTATCGAGGAAGGTAATATACACTACAAATACGACTTAATATGAGGCTGCTAGATTCAGCGTGGCCTAATAACAAAAATCACGATCTTCAATAAGGTGGAAAAAAATTGCAATAGGCGAAAATGAATTCGTACAATTATTTGTGAAAGAATCAATCATAAAATTGCAGTTAGGCTACTCCGCTTCTAGCGGTCTCATATATAGATGGATAATAGCGTTTTTTTTATTCGAACACAATATATACCAATTAAAAAAATAAACACAACTGTCAGACAGTTTGATGTCGTTAATGCAATTTAAAGGACAAAACTATTTAATGTACAGACAGACGAAGTTAAAAATATTGTGAATTATCATTCTAGATAACCTAACCCAATTCTTTAAAATTTGGAGCTTCGAGTAAGATACTTAACCCTCTTTAATTATTCTAGATAGTAAAAGAGCTTCTAGTCCGCGAAGGGGGTGGTGGGCTCAACGGCCCATCAGGCGATTGGTGTCACGAGGACGATTTACCTGAGGAGACCCGCTGCAAGTTGGAAGGTCTCAAGTGCATGGCCCGTTGGCTACTTGGCCTGAAGAAGGATGAGTTGTCTGCACAGAAGACCTTCAGGATGCTCAATGCGTTTATAGTACACAAGGGCGACTTATTGCAGGTTTGTGTCTTGTATAATAATTATTATCACTTTGGATATCTGTTGAAACATCTATAAACGAAGGTAAATGTTAACTGATATATTTCACATTATAAAAAGTTAAGTGTTTTATTTAAACTTAGTATGGTTCAGATCAACCAGTACTATTCTCCCGTACATCGAAGTATTCAGAACAATGCTTAATATGTGGGCATTCAGACTTTTTAGTTATTGGATTCCGAGCTATGATAAAGCTGCCGCGAACTCGCCAAATAAGTAATGAAGACTATTATAAAAATAACGATGATTCTAGCAAAACCAACTAAGGAAGGCGGAGATGGCGCACTTGAGGCTAGCGGCAGGCGCGGCCATGCTGAAGATCTGCGAACAGAAGGGCGTCGGAGACCAGTTCACAGCTGAGCAGTTTTACAACCTCTCACATCTTATGGTGGTATGTATACTTTTAAAGATCAGCGGAATACAATAATAAAAAGGCAATAATTATTACTGGTTCCGTTATTACATTAAATTAAATCACAAAAACCTAACTACCCTACTTTCCAAGTAATAAGTAACACAACACTGAATTATTGTGTAGGCTATATAACATCAAGCTTAAAATATATTCTGTATTTTGAAGAGTTGTATCGGTATTTGTATTTCTTATTATGTTTTTAGGACGAGGTTATAGAAGTCAGAGAAGCTTTCGCTGCAAAGTTACACAAAGGACTGTCAAAGGTATGTATAAAGCCTGTTTCATACCACACAAAGATTAGGTAATAGCGAATTAGGCGTTGATTCAAAACATCAAAGGCGAACAATGGAAAGACAATTTAAATACTATATTTTTGTTTATGTAAGTATTTTTCCTCAAACATGCTTGACAATCTTCTTCGAGATAAATCGATATTCCTTTACTGGCCGGCAATAGTTGTTGAAAATCTATCTGTCGTAGCCTCCAAATAAATTACTGTATCTATGTAATGTACAATGATATTCGTCGTACAATTTAAAATTGGAACGATCTTCTACGCCGCAAGATGGCGACCAAAGAGCTAACTTATCAAAGGTTCAATTTAAATTTCGAACTGGCCTACACATAATAAGCTGTTTGAAAAAAGAAATACTTTGGTACGTAAAAAACTATAGTTGTTCGTAAACTTCGTCCATTGGTTTTAAAGTTCTAAATTGTACTACTCAGTTTTATTTTCCGGGCGGGGCCACACGCTCATTCGTTCATCAATGCTTCTTTCGAATAAATATATATTTTTTATAAATAGGGTATTCCAAACAAATGTCTACCGCTGGACTTCATGGGTATGTACGCGTTGGCTGGACGCGAGCCGGACCGGCGCGTGCGCAGTCTCATCCGACAGTATATGCTTGCTGACGTAGTACGTCGCCGGGAGTACGTGCGAAACATCACTATTGGTACTAAAGGTAAGTTAATAAATAATTTAATATGAATATAATTTATGGACTTAAAGTTGTGGATGCCGGTTCAAGTGCCGCCCGTGTCATATTTGTATATTCAGAAAAATAATATTTTTTAAAAAACATGGTAGTCCTGGTAGGGATCAAAGATCGAGACGCAGACATATACGACTTATATTATTATTATAAAACGTTTTACACTGAATAAGAAACATCATGATTTATGTTTGAAAACTTTATTATTTTTAGTTTTTACATGTTATTGCACATGAAGGCACTATATAATTTAAAAATCAAAAATAAATTGAAAAAAATTTCGACTCGGGCAGGACTTGAACCGGCATCGTCAGCGTTCCGTGCTGTTGCTCTACCAATTGAGTGCCTCGGTAGCTCAATTGGTAGAGCTATTAGATTATTTTCTATTTTTAAATCATGATTTATTACAAAAATAACACTGATACGATATAAAAGAGATATAATATGACAAGACTTAATTAATCGCACGTTTGCAGTGGAGCGGGCAGTGAGCCAGTTGCCCCACATAATGCCGGACTACATGTTGGTGTTTGCGGTTCCAGTGCTCACACACGACCCTATGTTTACAAGTTACGACAATGTGGCACAGCTGAAGGTAAAGTTTCTTTCTTTTGATTAACCAGTCTAGTCTGTAGTTTATGTGTAAAAGTTTAAATTATTTAAAAAATATTATAACTTTTGGTCTCTGCAAAGAATCCGGAACGTGGGGCCGTAGTTAAAATAATTTTGAAAGAAGTCTAACTATTATATTTTGCATTTTAAACCGTTCTGGTACTAAATTATATATCAAACAAATTTGTATACAAGAAGTGACAATTGGGAAATTATAAAAAAGGGAAAAAGTCTTTTTTTAATCCCGCATGAGTTAGGTATATAGGTCGACACAAAAGAAGAAATATTGGTTTGTCTTAATAAACTTTCTAATTAAAATGAATTAAGTTGGCGTTTTACGTATAACGCGACCGCCTCTGTAGCTAAATGGTTAAACGTGGTTAAACAGTAAATTATTTCGGTCGGGCAGGGCACAGAAGTGTGATCACCTACTTGCCTGTAAATAAAACTGATCAGTGAAATCAGAAATGTGTTCGCCCTATGCGCCACGAGGGGAAACGGGATTTCACACTTACGTAATACGTGTCGTCTTCAAAACCTTAACGACATTTGTGTAACGAAACCTTATTATTTGTAGACGGTAAAACAGTGCCTGTGGTTCATCCTGGAGCCGTTGATAACGCGCAACGACTTCTATTGCTACGGCTTTTACAAGACGATTATTGAGAAAATGAAGCAGCACAAGGATGCTCTCAACGAAACAGACGAAGCTGTTAATTATGTAAGTATTTTCCATTTGCACTTAAAGCGAGTTACACATTAAATAAAAATGGTATAAGCAGTGAATATACAGTTATTAATAAAACTATTTTTTTATACGACTTACTAAAATGTAATTGTAATCACAAAAGAAATTTCACGTTTTATTCGTATAAAGTCAAATAGAGAGTTTTTTCAAAATAAATAGGTAGTTTTATATAAAATTTAATCGTATTTTATAATATATACATACTCATTTACGTAAAAAAATAAGAAATCAAAACAAAAGTTGTCTATTGTTAAACACATTTAACGGTTGAAAACAGGAATATATTAGTTTATAATGGGCTTGTTGGTAGCATAATATGGCTAATAATCAAAAGGTCGTATATTTCTAATCAATCTATATTTTTTTCTGAAATATATTGGACTTTAAAATCTGGATATTAAATTGTAGAAATATCGTAATTCGGTCCTGGTCACTATCCATCGTCCACACATGCAAAGGCGTCGAGTTTCCGAATATCCAAAGCCAAAATAGGCCGACAGAGCATCTTATTTATATATGGCTGGGGTATTTCTTATGCTTGTCTGTCCTCCTCTGCGATAAAAAATATCATAAGTAATCCGTCTCCCAGCTGTGGGCTCAAAGATCTGATAAGTACTGATTGTGAGTATATGAAATTGTAGAAACTGTGGGCGACGTGCGATCTAGCGATGTCGGTGATCTGGTCGCGGGCGACGTGCTCCGAGATGCGGGAGTTCCCCACCGACGTGCGCATACCCACCATGTACTTTGCGGTCCAGGACGAGTACTTCGCCAACACTCGCGTCTTCCTACCGCCTGAGCTTCAGGTACGTACTGAATGAAATCTGCTTCGGGGTTCATTTCCACATACGAAGACGTATTTCTGTGTCTGTCTCTGTATAGTATATGTAGCGAAAATTTATCTGTATCCTGTCTCTGTATAGTAGGTCTGTATGTGGAGCGAACATATTTGTGTGTTCTTTTTTACTAATGTATTTACAGGCAACTTTGGTAATTACACTGACCGATGGAAACTATTGTGTTTAGTGCGCCATAAACTGTGACCCTACTTTAAAAGTTTTTAGTTGCTAATATAGTCTTTCGTGTATAGTTCCAACCAAAAAAGATGCAGCCCGCGGATAACACAATGGGACAGCGGGGCAAGAAGCGCACTAGGATCGTCCCGGAGAAGGAGAAAGAGAACGCTAACGAATGCGAGGTGAGTTATAATAATTACCGTTTATTATGTCTATGAGTATTGGTTTCAAACAACAAAATCAATGCTTATGTAACCAAAACCAATAATGATTAAAAGTGTGTTAACATTTTGAAATCTATGCAATCAGCTCCACGGTCTCTGAATAGCGGTTGTCATTAACAGGTTTTCGAAAGGATACCAATAAGTCACTGCTAATACCCAAACACATCTGTACAATGAAAATGATATTCACAACAATAAATTGTGACGTCACAATTCTAAATATCGTATGAAAACGATGTCAAACCGTTAAAAATAGATTTGATCTGTCAGGGAAGTACTTAATCTATACTAATATAAAGGTAATAAGGTTGTTTAAACGCGCTAATCTCTGGAACAACTAGTTCGAATTAATTGATCTATGACGGCCATAAAACCAAAAATATTTATGAAAAAATTATTCCACTTTAAGTTGTCTAAAAATATATTCGCGTCATTTTATGTCTATCTTTTAAGAGGTAGACAAAGTAGCGGGCACAGCTAGTAATAGATAAAATAAAATGAAAATTGTATAAATCATTCTTCATTTGTTTCGCAACCGTAAAGTTCACACGTCTACTTTATATCTAGACATGTTACACATAGTTCACGTGTGAAATAAAAGATGAATTATTAACTGTAGAAAAAAAATGTATAACCTGGTGATAGGGTTGGCTGGTAAATGCATGATTATTGTTACAAGCTTGTCTTTGGACGCTCCGGGAGTATTGATGCCAAGGTAAATAGAGATTGACATTGTGTACTCAAGAATAATTTAATATTTTATAATTAGTTTTCTTTCAAAGTTGCGTATATTTCTTTTATTATGAGTTGCATCCAAACTTGCTTGTAACGATTTTTATGTTTTTTACGTTTTCATGTAGATTTTACGAGCTTGAGGCATGGCTAGAAATCGTAGTGAAAAAAACTGATTTATTAATTTAATAGTGATTTATTAACTCTGATTTTACATATTGTGTATCTGTCGATGTATGTGTCGATTGGACACACCAAAATAACCATTTCTTCACAAACAATAAAACTATCGAGAAAAGTCTCAGTCTCATGTTTAATGTATAAAAATACAATTATATTTTGTCAATGGTTCAGTATTCACTCGGTTCTTTAAAGACGACCGTCGAAACGAACTTGCTGAATTTTCGACTCGGGCAGGACTTGACCCGGCATAGTCAGCGTTCCGTACTGTTGCTCTACCAATTGAGAACTCGGTAGATCTTTATAATTAGTTCAGGCTATCTTTCAGTATATTAATTATGTTAAGACTAACAGTGATTGTAATTTAAAAGTGCATTCATTACAGCCCTCCGAAGCGTCAGACACACAAATCATAGTACCAGGACTTGAGCAACCGCCGGAGACGGATCTAGAAGAACCTCAGGCGAAGAGGCCCATGAGCGACTGAACCTAGGACATACAAGTTTGGAAATTCTAACTTATTACATTCGGTGTTTGTGCTTCGCACGCAAAACGCGGGTACCGACACGCTTCTTGAAATTTAAACCTTATTAATCTAGATATAAGGTTTCAAATCTATCTTTCGTACTTTTATCTTCAGCGTTCATTCGTAATTTATTTCTTAGTGCTGTGAATTTCAACTACACATGAGTTGTTTATAATAGTTTTAAAGTAGCACTTATTGCAGTATTAATAAGGTTTAAATTCTTTTGATAGAAGGAACCGTGCCCGTCCACGAGTTTTGCGTGCGCTAGCACAGTTGGACGATCGAGCGATGTTAATTTTGACATTTTATATACGAAATGATTTTGTTATCGAATTTGAATTTCGTAAATCAGGAAAAATTTTAGTTTAAATTACTTTCTTGAAAGCTGTTGTGAATTATTGTTCATGATTAGATCTACATAAACGTATAGAGTGGCGATTTAATTATTTGTGTTTATTGTTTAGTGAAAATATAATATTTTTTATCTTCACGCTTTCATTTATCATGTTCGAATTTCAACTTTTTTCTATGTTTAAAATGGTCCATTGTGAACGAAATACGTAAAAAATTCAAAGCTTAAGATACAACTTATGTAACGGTGAAGCGTTTGTTACTTATGTGTTTACCAGATTTTTAAAATACAGTTGTTATAAAATACATCTGTGGTCTACGAATTGACGTGTTTTTGTATAGATCGGCATACACTTATATCATTTCCTGATACAAATTTGTAAAAGGTCATAATAGATTTTTGGTTTGGAGAACGGAAACTGCAGACTAGTTTATATCTTAAAACGGGATACTAACTTCTAGCACTTATCAAACATCTTGGAGGTTAGTTTTTAAGAAAGTTTCACAAATAAAACTTACAGAGGCTAGTCTCTTTAAAACTATCCTTTTAAATTATCCCACTTCTGATTTTAAAGAAATTACATTTGTTATTTCTTTCATTTATTTAAATTGAATCAATAAATTCGTAACAAGTGACACTCTGAATATGTATATTTTTGTAATCTAATATTTAAGTTGCGATGCAGTAATTGCAAGTACCCATTATAAACAATGAAGCATTAAAAAAAATGGTAAACATTTTAGAACTGGCAATTACGAATTAAATACTTACGTGTATGCCCTTTCGCATATAATAAATGTATTTATTTGTTATTCTTACACGTTAACACTGCATATACATACATAAAAACAAATAAGACAATTATGTTATAGTTTGTTTCCTAAGCAAAGTTTATTATATCTTTTACTTAGATAGAAAAAAATATCACTGCTCTAAAGCGACATCTAGATCGCTACAAGGCGAGATAAATTCGTTACTCGTCGTATTAATTTGATATCAAATTTGATTGCTGTCTTTATCGAATGATATACAACCGACAGAGATGGATATATTGGAATGTTACTAGTGTCTGCGTTTTGTAATTCCAGGGGCCAATTATTAAAAGCGTCACAAGTTTTATAAAAAATCTTACATAATGTGGAATATATCGATGAAAGAGAATTGAAACGCTTCTAACGGTTTTAAAAGTGGAATATATTGCTTTTTTAATAAGATGACTCCATAACGTAATTTATAGACGATATCTTTAGAATTGTCCCACTTATGGGAGCTGCAGTTTCGCGGACACTAGTGGCAAAAATTTATCTTGACACACGCTGAGTAGATTTTTTGTTTGGGCTGAGCCTATAACAATTCATCAAATTCCCGGACGAGACATTTGAACCTTCTCTAAACCGTTATATTTTTTTATAACAAGAAATTACGAATGACTTATTCAAATGATTAGACTTTAAGTTATTTTTAAATTGATGGGGTGTGGACGTCGTCGCTTTTAGTTAAGATATCGTGTGATACAGCCTACGATTAAGATGTTTTAATTTTAGTTTAGCGTAAGTTTCCACTTTCACATGCAATATAGACCTTGACACATACAATTTAGAGTCTATTTTGTGTCGGCAAAGCAATAAAACAGAAGCATGCTAAGTCATGTCACTTAGTTCGTATTATTAAATAATTGAGGTTTTTTTTCGTTTGGGGGTTTTTACCACGTTGTTAGATGTTGCCACCGAGAAAAATATAACTCTTATTTCAGATAACGGTTCATTTGAGCACGTGTAGCATGTAACATTACATGTTTTATTATTTTGTAAGGTACAGCGTTTTTATTTAATAATTTATGGTTTCCTATGTAACTGATCTTGCGGACAATAGGGGATTTGCAGGATTTTTTTTGTAGGCAAACACAACAGACCACTTTATAATACGAAATAAAACTAACTATATATGTAGCTATTTACTTGCATATTTCCTATTGTCGTTAGAGTAGGACAGTCAGCTAGAGAAGTTACGCTTTTGTTGTTGACTGTAGTTTTGTTATAGCGCCGATGTCCACGCGGTTTTCTTGGATTGTGTATCGTTAAGTGTACCAAATAATACCGCCCTAATGGCGAACGCTCGCTCGATGTCTTAACGATGATTCTCTGTAGTTATGTATTAAATAATTAATAAATATACATTACTCGTTTCCCTTCCCTCTTATTTTTTAGATGTATGCTGGTGCAGTGTGATTCAAAATCTAAATATGGTTCTTGGATGCTGCACATTTAAAATTAAACAGTTTAAAACGTCATTTATTTCTCAATTACCTCTTGAAGCTTGCAAAAAGCAAGAGATTTCAAAATATCGAATTCCTTGTATCTGGGGAAGTATTAGCAGTTTCCCAGCAAAAACAAAATTGGTACTGATGCTGTCAAGCATTTAAAATCATAGGGTCACAGTTAATCTTAAGTTTACTAACATATTTCACGTTTTAAATTCTTATTGTTTTTTTAAATCTCATATTTAAATCAAATAAAATGGCAATTTTCATTGCTTTTATTTTAATCGTGCCTATCATCCGGTTGGGTGACTTCATCCATTTGTCCGGGTAAAATCTCATCACTCTTCACATGAACCGGGGGAATCACTGATGGGTCGATGTCCCTTATTGCGTCTATAAGATCGGCGGTTGATTTGTATGACGATATCGTGTGCTTTACGAAGTCCCTGTAATTAGTATAATAGGTTCATATTAGGTATTTTAGTCATTTTTGCAATCTCCTCAGCCTTGGTAATTACTATGTAAATAGATCTCCTAACAAACAATTCGCCCAAAATAAACATTCTTAGCGGACGAAGTCGCTGGCACAGCTAGTTAGATATATTAGTGTAGTTAGAAGCCTCGTTATTATATTTGTTACTACATTCACACAGTTCAGACTTTTGTCGGCAGATCGCGGCAGTAAATAGGTTGAAGCAGCGATCATATTAACACGTGATAAAGTACATGCTTTCTCCACAATAAAATGGCTACTGAGTAGTAGAATTCTGTAATTACTATTATTTACTACGAACCTGAAATAAAACGCTTTAATAAATACAGCCGGCTGATACTCGTGTCCGCAGCGTTCTGGTCCAAAACTCATTACGCCCATTAACTTGTTCTGCTGGACAGCTGGTGCGCCTGCGTCGAACTAGAATACCACAAGAGTAGTAATTTTATCTCAGAAATGTAAATTCAGTCAGATGTCACGATGTTCTCTTCAAGGATCAAAGATGGCGCTTCAATCGCTACCTACAGTCTCCACTGAGTAACCCAAAGGGACGATCAAACGAATATAATATATGTTCTGGCTTCACTCTATCTCCTCTCCCGCGTTTACTGTTGGTACAAGCCAAGCGCCGGGGTTCACTGACGCACAAGTTACTTGAGAAGCAGCAGCCATCAAAGTTTTATCATGATTTAAAGCGATTCGGTGTAAGGGAAGGGTCGAGTTATAAAAGGAAATCACCGGGAGGGTTCTCCGCCTGTGGGACAGGCGCTGTCAATCGTATTTTATCTATACCTATTCCTAGTCTATGGGCAAACACTCCACCTCCACCTTTTTCGGGAGCATTGGATTTTTAATTGGGTCTCACCGTGACCACGGCTGCTGCAACTTGAACCGTTAAAGTGTTTTATTTAAAAAAGTCCCTACTTCCTGCAGAACAATATTTAAGATACATTATAATATTTATATATTTAAAGAATATTGCTTAGATTTTTTTCTTTTGCGTGATTAATTATTGTTTTACTGTTCTTGATATACTTACCAAGCACGCATCCCTGGTACCATTTCTGAGTGACGCACAGAAGAAATCAGGAGTGAATTGGAAGCCATTGACAAGCTGGTACGCGTCTTTGCAGTAATGACGCGTGCGCACCTTCAGTCGGGCTGATAGCAAATCTGGTGTGTGTTCTCGGAATGATGTTTCTGCTCCCTAAAAAAACAGCAAGACAGGCTCTTTTGTAACGGTAGCGATGTGCGGTTAATAATTAACGGCTCGTGGATTCAAACGCCACCGGGTCCAACATATGTCTAATCAATCTATATTATTCTTTGAAACATGTTGTACTTTGGTAATGTGCATATTAAATGGTTGGTAAGAATATCGAAATTCCGTCCGGGGTCACTTGTTTACCGATGAAAGGCCGTAATGTTTAATGCCGTTTTGTTGTTATCGAGATGTTATTATGATTTCGAGTAACCGAAGCTAAAATCGGTGAACAGTACATCTTCTTTAAATGATATACATTTGCTGGAGTATTTCACCTTCTTTCAAGTGAATTCTATGTTTGTCTATACTCCCTTATTATAAAAAATAGGGAAAATGGGAGGGCTACTTACGGCGAACGTTTTAATTTCTGTCTGATAACTTAGTAAGAAATAATATTTAGGATTGAATTAAATCGAAACGTGGTTTATTGTACCGATGACAGCTGTTTGTTATATGTGACATGACGGTGCTTAGTTTGCTTACCCGTGTTGCCCCCCAGCCAGCCACGACAACGAAACTCTGCGAATACGGCTCCTTCATTCCGTCGTAAATTTTGATCAAGTTTATATCAGATGTAAATACTGTTGACAAATGTATTATTATTATAGCATTATTAAATAATAAAGATGTGCTTAACGTTTCGGATAAATTATTGTATTATTTACATATAAGTAATACGTAAATAATACAATAATAATAATAAGTAACACGTTGCCTGGTAAAACAAAAGTTATTAATACAAACTTCTAAAAAAAGTAGTGCCTATAGTTTACGCAAGTAGTACAAATTGAAATAAAGTACCTTCAATGCTTTCAGTGTTAATTTCGTAGGATTGACTTTACCGTCATACCTACTTTATCATTTCACATAAGCCTTCCTCACGTAAAGCATACGTGATAAATATAATTTTTAATAATAAAGAAAATCTATTAGTAAATTTATAGATGACAGTATGTACTTAGATTCTCGGATAACTTCAACAAAGCAATGTCTGCATGGGGCACCGGCTCTTCTTCGAATTTGGGGTGTCTAACAGCACCAGCTACATCTACCAGCACCCCTCCTTCATGAGGACTAGCGCTTCCCACTCGGACCTTTACGAATTTACTTAGGGTCTTCATAGGAGAGACGTGGAGGACGCTGCCAAAAATACACGCTATGAAAGTTTCAGCACAACGAATGTTTTATAAGTATTTGATTCTTCTCTTCATTGGTTTTGAGCGATCCGTTAGTGTTTTAATATTATAGGGACAGATTGGTAGTTTCTGCGATAGAGATACGGAGTATCGCAAAAAAATTATATAGTTTTATTGACATGTAAAAAATAATTTTACCAAACGAGGAATATAATTAAATAACTTTCATGTGTTGTCTTTGTATTTCTTTCATATAGAAATACTCCGCAGTACTTATATTTAGACCTCATGTTAATTTGTTTTATTAACTCCACTAACAATTTACTCGATCTCAAGAAGCCGTGACGTCATTAAGTCACAATAATACGTTTCCGGGCATTTTAAAAACGTTTATTTTTATTATATGGTGCTAAAGGAGTCCGATCTAGAGATATAGCACTTTCTCAATAATAGTCAACATCCCTATTATCGAAGGATAAGTGTGTCCAGCATTTTTAAGAGTTTTTTTTTTCTACAGAGGCTCGGTTGAAACGGTGTTTTGCGGAATTATCTCGATAGTAATTATAGATTTGAAATTGTTTATAATTCAATCTACATTTCCTTACTAATTCAAACAATGCGCTGCAGTTAAAACCCAATTTTCATCAACAATAGTACCGGCGCACCACAATCTCCCGTTTATAATAATGGCAGCAACAAACGGATAATTTTTAGTGTCTGAAACGTTTCCTCCGCGTATTCTGAGATTCCCTTTTTGGATGTTAACAGAATAGTCGTTGCGTATGCGCAGTGCGTTCCTGTCATTGAATCGACGGCGGCCATCTTGTCGCGGTTCTTTGTAGAGGTTCATCTTGAATTTAACTGAACAAAAAAACTTTCATTCTAGTTAAGCATACCTTCGTAGGAGGTAGATAATAGCGATATTGAAAACATTGGAACCCCTACTGGCTTCTGTGTCACTTTGCTTTGCTAAGTTTGAAAAACTGAGTTCGAATCACGAAAATACAACAGAACAGTCAGACAGTTTAAAATTCATTTTAGATTTAGAAATTTTACGACCCGGGCAGGACTTGAACCAGCATCTGCAGCGATCGAGCGAACGATGATACGAGGACACGGTAGCTCAATTGTTAACCCCGTGTTTTTTTGTCCTCGTCATATCATTAAAGAAAAGCAACTTAGATACAATATTTTTGTATTGGGCTAAATATAAAGAGGTAAGCTATCTGCATATCCTATTTAAGTTAGGCAAGACGAGCATAAAACGAAGCAAAATGTGGAAGGCAAACTTGACTTGAAGATTTATTGATGACGGTTAAGATGATCAAAGATGTTAAAGAGATGATAAATAAAATTATTAAGAGACTAAAAATGACAGCTTTCCTTACACACTGACGGGTCGTTTTTAAATTCACTGTGTCCATTTGCATAGTTATAAGCAGATAACACAATTGAAATTTGTATTAAAATATCAAACATTCTGAACAATTCACGATATAGCTTTTCTTATCACATTTTATTTCTCTGAACGATTTCAACATACGAATAACAATAACAGAAATTTTATTAAGTAATAAAGTGTTATATTGTATATAAGATATACAAATATGTCAAAAGATAAGGAATTTGTAGAAATATTGCCAATGTATATTTTCTTTAAATTTCTCTGTCATATTAAAGCACTTTAAAGCATTAATTCTTAAACACAGTCTGTGTTCTTAAATAAATGTTAACGTTTGAAAATATATATTGTATAATATTCTTTGTTTCCCATATTGTTTGATTTTTTTTATATTGTATATACATATACAGGGTGTAATTGGAACAGTTCTGAAAACATTCGAAGGCTTCTATTAGGGGCTAAAATGTGTTATATGATGCTATTTATTTTCAATTATTTCAAGACTTTTATCAAAGTTATACAAGTATGAAATGTATAGCAATATAACAAAAAAAAAATCAATTGGCGAAGAAACAAAAAAGACATATTTAAGCTGGAAAATTAAAAATATCAATAATAACGAAAACACACGTTTATATATAAATACTTTTATTGTCCATAAGACGACACTTAGAACGATTAATACCAAGATTAAAACGACAATTCGTCACAATATCACATTAGGTAGAGGCATCATATTTTTATCTAATTACATATTACTTGGCTACGGTAAGCGGTGCGAACGGCGACGCGACTATTCCCGCGATTTTGTGATATCCTGTGTACTAAGGTGCTTTTGTTTTAGTTCGTCGTTCGCATCCTTAATTTGGAGATATATTTCGATACATTTGGCTAGATGCGGCGTCGGTCGCTGGTCGCCAGTCGCAACGCATCGGCGAGTGTTCCGTAGCCAGATTTCATTTTTCACTTAACATTAAATTTTTCTAAAGTCAACCGTACATCGCAGTATTATAATTAAGTTGTTGTCTGTGTAGGTGAGTAGAATTTGAAAAAAAAAAACACTTTTAACGACTTAAGAGGGAAATGTATTAGTTAACTTATTTTAAAAAATTAAAGTGCAAATTACACAATAATGTATTTAGTATATAAATATTAATATAACTTATTTAAAATGTACGCATGAGAAAGCTCGGACCGTAGTTAATATAAATTGTCAATAACTTAACTAATACATTTCGCGTTTTAAACCGTTAAAAGTGATATAATTGTCAAAATTAGTAGTGAAGTTGGTTTAAAGTAGTCAATTCTATCACAGTACATATTTAATTGAGTGTATAGTTTACTATATGTATTACTCTACCCTAAGACACGGTCACGTATTGTATAAAATAAATATTATGCTATTAGCATCGTTAGTTACATAATGCGCATCATTACGAAAAATCAAAGATTTAAGTTATAGACACGACTAGTTACAAATAACCGTAGGTGTTCGAATAAAAATTCGTTGTCGAAATTAGGTAAAATTAAAACCAAAAAGCTAGCTAAGCTATAAATTAAGCTAAGCTTTTTGGTTAACTTAGAAGAATATAAATTGAAGTTATTAAGTAAGTTAAAAGATAAATTTAAAAGTTATTTTATTGTTTCTTTAATACAAACAAAAACGAAAATTAAGTACACGTTATGTTTGAAGCTTATGGCGACTTATTAAAATAAGCATAATGTTTTTCAATAACTATGACACTGGTATAAAAAGTTATAATTAAATGTGATATGTACACTATAACAGAAATAACTCTTTATTTCTACGAAAGGAATTTAAAAAATATCATTTATTGTATTAGTTCTGCTTCGTCGATAGTCATTAGGAAAAATATTAAAAAACAAGTTTATACAAAATTAGGCGTAAGTTAATTTATTAAAATGAATCATTTTTATCTAAAGTCCAATAGAAATAATCAGCACGTAGCTAGGTTGACAAGGGCCCCAGTCTACCTAGTCCTAGGGCCTAAGAAAGAATCGGGCCCTCATCCCCTTTTTCAGCCTAGCTTGAATTAAATAAACCTCCAAAATTGTAAATAGCAACAAAACTAGTTTATTCAAATACGTTAAAAGAGGTTTCTTTTACGCTTATATCTTTTCAAAGATGAGGTTAGAGGGCCCCCAAGTTCCGGGGCCCTGGTGCATTAACCACCTGGCCCTACGATAGCTACGCCATTGGAAATAATCCGTCTAATTCGTCGAGTAAATCTAATTGAACTCCTATTTTAACTTTGACTATAGTCAAACCGTTCATAATCGGCTAACTTCATTTCCAATTTCTCTAGCTTCTTTTTTCTCTGCTTTTTCTACATCTTTCCTTTTCTCCTTCTGTCTGCCATCTTCTAGCAGCGCATAGATCTCTTCCACACTTCGGTCTTTAGTCTCTGGTACATAAAGCACCGTGTACATGGTGCCTAAGAAGCAGATAATTGAGAAGAATATGAAAACCCAGTGTATACCCACGAGTTTTATCATGGGGTCGTAGGCCTTTGTTTGTAAGAAGTCGCTCAGCGCATCTACGCTACTAATAAATGACGTCACCATACCACGATGCTGTAAAAGAAGTGAGAAAGAGGTAATTCATAAATATTAATTGATTTTTTAAGCCTACTGATGAACTTATCAGCGACTTCGCATTATTTCCCAGAAGTTATTTATTTTATTAACTGCCTAAGTAGCTTAGAAGTTAAACGGACTGCCTAGCATTACGGTGAGAACTAGAGATCCAAGATCTGGCGAGACAAAGTTCCGTTTAGGTAGGTACAGTCTGACTAATTACAAGTCTATAAATAAAAATTGATCAGTCAAACAGACTAAGGAATTGTTTACCTTCCCATTGCGTGCGTTGCGTAAACGGTTCAGAACAAGAATGCTTCTTCATAATGAAAGACTTCTAAGACGTACAAGAACGTCAGGACGCGAACTACATCGTAGGTAACAGCTATATTTTATAACCTGAGGAGGTTGTTTCCAAAAATAAATTTTGACGACCAAAATAACAATTCTACGCAGACCAATTCGCAGGCCCAGCTAGTCTACTAGGTGTATAAGGTAAATTTAAAGGTATGTTACGGCTAATAAGGTAAATGATACTTACTTGAAAAGAAAACAATTCAGACATGATGACGTACGGAACTGGTTGATACCCAGCGGCATCAGAGAAGATGCAGAGACACATAGCCAGCACCGGAAGCCAGCCAGGTAGCCAGATGGATAGTGAGGTGATGTAGAACCATAGACCCAAAGATAACATGGATAATCCGGTGGCTAATGATGTGCTTGCGAGGAGCCACTGTAACGATAAAAGAGGTTTTTTAATTACAACTGAATTAATTTAATATAATATATATTTTTTTTTATGCACAATTTATTTTAACAATCTCCACGCTGCTGTAAAGCATCCGCAACGTCAGGCTGTAGTTAAAATAAATCGTGAATTAAACTATTATATTTCGTGTTTTAAACCGTTACAAAGGGTTTTTTAAATAAGTTGTACTATGTGTATGTAGGCCGTATGAGTATGATACGGAGATGACAGTAACCTGTAATTGAAACCCTTTATATTAAGTTTATCTCGCGTTTTGAACTGTTAAAAAGTGTTCTATTTACAAGTATATATTTTCGTTAACAACAAACAATATATATTATGTCAACTAGTGTAAGTTATCGTACTATCGTACGTAGTAATCACTTCCAAAACATTATGGAAATTCTTTGAAATATTCACCTTTCTCCCAGTCTTTTCCACGATACAGCTGGCCACTATGGAACCCAGCAATTGGATAACTCCCACCACTATCGTTTGTTTGTTAGGACTGAGTTTGAGGCTGATCGATTGTGACGCCTGGTCAAATATAGAGCCAGCATACATCAGAACTACTAGATAACCACAAGTTTCCTGGGATAGCATCACGTTCAGGGCAATTCTGAACGCTTGGAAGGTGGTCTTGTCTTGGACTGCAATTTTTAAATCCAAATATTATTTACATGTTGCACATGACGGCATTTTAAAATTGGAAAATCTATATAGAGTGTAACAAATGACGACACTGAGGGAATTCGAACCGGCGTTCACAGGGATACGTGCTGCTGCTAACCAATTTAAACGTTACCGTGTATCATACGTCTTCGTCGTTTTTTTAACCGATTGATACACGCATTTCTCGCATAAGGTTAACTTAATGTTCTTACCTAATACTTACTCATTGAGACAAATATTCAACATGAAGGTATAAAGTTAAACATTTGGAAACTTTCAGAGTTTGTGCTTAGATAGATCCTGGTTCCAGTCCCGTCCGAGTCATCATCAATTAAAATAGACTTTAATTGATATATATTATGTTTTAGACTGCCTCTATAGCCAGATGGTTAAACGTGTTGCCTAGCATCGCGTTGAACGCGAGGGGGCCTGGGTTCGAATCCCAAGGAAACAATAAATTGTTTTGGTCGGACAGGGCACAGGCTGAACAACTACTTGAAACGGGCACAGAAATGTGTCCACAAGGGGAAACGAGATTTCACTCCTATGTAAGTAGCGTATTAATATTTTTTCATACCTATACTCTTCCAAGAAGCTTTCTTTATAGACCGTGCGTACTCTTCCTCCCTTTCCATTTGTTGGACTTCTTCTTCTAAGTTCTTGTCGTCCACGGATGTGTGCCTCAACCAGGCTAAGGCCACTCGTGCTTCCTACAATTTTTGTTTTAGATGACAATAAGGCAGGTCCTCTACTATTCTTGGTAAGAAATGATAAGGAATAGGAGGTTAATTCGTTTGACGGGCTAGGTCCAACATTTTTCTAATCAACATATACGAAATAGGTTTAAATGTTGTATGGTTTGAGATTTTCATCTCGCATTAACTGAACCCCGTTCTTGACCGGCCTCTTTTATCATAAAAAAACCCGACTCTGTTCTTTTCGTTTGTGGATAATTCGATTTTGCAATACTAGAATTATATGATATAATATATATATATATATATAAAGTGATAAAGGTTTTTCGTTGATTTATTTTTTTTTTCAATTTATTTTATTATTTATTTTGAATTAAGTTCATGGAACTTATGTTAGGGGTCAATAAACAATTAAACAGCATAACAATAGTCTTTAGATTACGCGACTAGTTCATTTAAATTAAATAAGAGACTTTTAACTGGCCTCCCGGTTAAAATAAGTTAACTAATATGGTTTGCGTTCTAAACCGTCAAAACTGTTTTATTTAAAAAGTCAAATATCAGAAATTTGAAAATACTTTTCAGTCTGAAAAATCTTATGCAACGTAATAATTTTACCAAAATTAACTAGCCATGAAAAAACATAACTACTCAGACGAATTATTGAATTATAACAAAACTTAAATTATTACGTAAAAACCTCGCCAAATTGAATCACGTTAAGAATGAAACGCAGTCATTTCGAGTTTTGATTGCGTTAAAATATTTTATACTTAACATTTTTTGTTCGGTGAATTGATACGAAAATGTATTTCCCCGTCTCCACTTTCAACTACAGACAGTTTCATTAATGTTATTTATATAACTTTCCTTATACGAGTCATAGTTGTAAACTAGATAATGCAAAATATCAACTATACTTTTAAATAAAACCCATTAACGGTCCGAAACGTCGAGTCGTAGTGAAAGTAATTTTCAAAAGTAAGTTTAACTAATATTTATCTTGTTTTAAACCGTTAAAGTGTTTAATTTTAAATGTGTACTACTATTCTACTACTACTACTTCTTACACTATTCGCTCGAACTACAGACAGTATTTAATCAACCATACTTTTTAAAAATATCAACCTATTCGTGTCATATTTAATATTAGCTAGCGATACACGACGTGAAACATGACACGAGGATCTGCGATTCGAACGGCGACTAATCATCGCGTGTCTTTGTCGCTCGCACCTTATTATTTGTGTTTTTCATTCTCGCTGTTTGCATCGCCGGTCGCCGCTACACTTGAGTTGATTGGTCACCATTCCATTGTTTTATTAGCTAGGCGTCTTTTATGTATAAAGACAAGCATGGCGATCATTTGATCGTCACAATGGTCGGGTTGATTGGTACCTACATCACCATTTTTATGTTTCAGGTGTTGGCTGTATTCCGTCAATTTACCTCTAATAATAAATTTCACAAGACTTTCATCGCGACTTTGTTTTTTGCCATTGCTGGTTAAGTAACTGGCTAAGTGTATAATCCAAATCTATCCTAATGTTGGAATACTTATAGAGGGCAGTGTATTTTTATCCAAGAAGTATTTAATAGGTAAGGTAGTACCTTATATTTCCCTTGCTTCACTAAGAATACCGGTGTTTCTGGCATCACTAGGAAAATGAGCAAATGCAGAACAGGTATGGCTGTGCAGAGCCACATCACCGCTGCGAACGACAGCATGTCTCCGGCCACGTAGACCACCAGGTAGCCCAGGTTCTGCACGAGAATGAAGAGGGACCCTAGAGCGCCTCGAATTTTGTCTGACGCTATCTGCAACAAAAATACGGTATATTTTAAATGAGACTTACCAAATTACTTATTTCTTTGGTGGCTGGCTTTGACTATAGTCTAGATTTTATTAAGCTTAGTTTTTTATTATTTAATGAAGTCATTGTTCGTTGTGGATCGTTCTTGTTAACGAGAATGGAATCCCCGAACGACCACGACCAAGAATCCAGTGAGTCATAATCTTTTTTCCGTTTTAACTTAAACACGGTGTGTGTTCAAAGTAATATTAACCCTAATTCTTAGGTAATTAAATTTTAAGTAAGCTGAACGTGTACAGCAATCAATTCCTTTTTACGATAGAGGAGGACAAACGAGTATGGGTTCACCTGATGGTAGGTGAAGTAAGCCTAGTTGTAGACCTATTTCGGCTTTGGATATTCAGAAATCCACAGACTGCAACCGAAACGCAATTGCCATTTCGATATTCCTACCACCCATTTAGATTTCCAGATGAAGCTCAACTTGTTTTAGAAAACTTATAAATTGAAAATTTTTAAAACATGTTGGACGCGGTGTGGAAGCCACGATCTGTTGATTATTAGCCATACATAACTACAATTAAAACATTTAATAAAACACTTTAACGGTTCAAAACGCGATATATTAGTTAAACTAGTCGGGCCGAAGTTAAAAATCATTTTCAAATAAGTTTAACTAATATATCGCGTTTTAAACCGTTAAAGTGTTTTATTTAAATGTGTACTACTCGCGTAAACTATAGACAGTATACAATTAAAACAACAAACAAAAATGAAATTCTTTAAAAATCAAATCGACCCTTCAAATACGAGAAGAGTATGCTATAGGAGATCTTGCAACATAGTTGCTTCTTATAACTGTCGTTAATCAGTATTTTCTGTTACCTCTTTCAAGTATAAAGGCGTGACCACATAGCAACCGGCACACGCTAATCCCGCCACCGCTCGTGAAGTGATAAGTGCCCACGGGCGGAGGGAGAACATGGTTATACTCCAACTAATCTGAAAATAAGATTTATCTTAAACATTTGAAATGCAGTATTTTACACACTCGAACAAGGTTCAAGTCCTGCCCGTGTCGTAAATTTTTTCAATTTATAGTCGACTCCCCGTGACCACGGCTGCTGCAAAGCATCCGAAACGTCGGGCCGAAGTTAAAAATCATTTTCAAATAAGTTTAACTAATATATCGCGTTTTAAACCGTTAAAGTGTTTTATTTAAAAGGTTTATTATGGTCTGCCCTCCAGCATAATGCAACAAAATGACCATGGTAATAGAAGTCGAATTATAATAAATTAAACTAAGTAGTACACAAGGAAACAAATGTTATAAGTTACAACTGTAATATATTATCAACATCTTTTAAAGATAACAAAAACCTGAAACACGAATAAAATATGTGATATTATTATATCCAGATAAATGTACTGTGACAGTAATTATTGTTGTTTATTTTACTATTACGAACGAGATAATTCAGATATAATTGAGTGTAGAGTGGTTTGAACTGCTTAAGGGGCTGGCGTAAGTCAAAAGCGTAAGCGTTTGTACTGGTACCATTAGTTTTTCCGACGATACAAATCGTTATATTTGGACATTTCAGTTTCCAGTTCTAAATTTAAAAATCACAATGTGACTCAAATCATGAAATACTACTTTGTTCAGTGCTTTTTGTGTCTTTGGTTTGTACATCGGGGATAAAACATACTTTAAGTCTGGCAGAGCAGCTTCTTGCGTACTTGATAAATGTAATTATCTCCAGTTGATATTAATTCTTAATTATACAAAGAATTTATTATTATGGAAATTACATGTCAATTCTTTAAGGTCTTGTAAAAGCTTTGGAATATGTATATTGATTCATTAGTTGGGCTTCATGCATTTTATATCTGATGCAAATTTTAATAGCATGCTTAAACTAATCGTTTAATTACAAAGTACGCATGATAAATACAATTTATGAGCTGTTTAAATTATGTCCAGTATATTTTTTGTAACTACAGACAGATTAATTTAGTTTTGTTCTGAAATTTAAAACATTAATTATAACACACTTGTTAAATGATATATTAAGAATTATTAATCGACAGATTTACTCGAGTTTTACTAGTTTGAATTCCAAATAAAGCGATTTATTATTATAGTTAAATGTAATTTAAATACGCTGCCCCCTATATTTTAAAACTGCACGTGGTTCCTAAGCTAGAATAATTCAAGTGTGTGAGTTGTAACGAAAATTATGTATTATTATGTATCCACGGACGATTCTTGCAGGTCATTGATGTTGAACTTAAATGTAGATAAAGAAATATTAAAACAATCAGTGATGATCATTCGTCAACGTTGCGTAATGCTGCTAAAATACTTTTTGTCGTAATCATTCGTTCATTAATATAGATTGAGAGACCGTAAATTCTATATCCACCAGTCTGACATGTTTGTCTGTCTGAATAATCTTCGTTTTGATAGCCGGCAGCTACAAAATGTATTTCTGTCCCTTAGTTTGAGTAGTTATCAATCTTACTAATATTATAAAACTGAAGAGTTTATTTGTTTGAACGCGCTAATCTCAGAAACTACTGTGTCAAATTGAATAGTTTTTATGTTGAATATACCATTTACCGAGGAAGGTAAAGCCATATAACAACACACTGCATCCAATAGGAGCGAAGCAATTGAAAATATGAAAAACGAGAAATTATCCATCTTTGAGAGTTTTCGTTGCGTGCGTTGCGAGAGCGTTTCAAGAAACTAAAAACATGTATTTAATAATGATTCCAACAACAATCCCAATCCCAGATCAGTTACTAAAACATACTTACAACAAGCATTAAGGAAGTGAGCATTGTAGTTGTCTTTCTTCCCCATCTATCAGCGAGATCACCCACCAGGACTCCGCAGAAGATGGAGGGGAAGAACGTGACTGATGCCATCCAAGATATAGTCTCATCGGAGATGGGCTCGGGCGCTGGTCCGTCTGGTGATTGCAGGATTGGAGTCATTGGTGACTGCCAACCCATTAACATCCCGAAGTTTAATACTGGTATTGTCACTAGAATAAAAAAAAGAATAGCATTAAGCACTGACTACTACCATCTTAGTACTAAATACTTCCATCTTTAGTCTCCCTGTGACCACGGCTGCACCACAGCATCCGAAACGTTTAAATAACTTTATTAAAATATGTCGAGTTTTAAACCGTTACAAGTTTATTAAATAGCATTAGCTAACTTCTAATAATACAGATTATACTACAGATTCAAACGTCACTTTCCACAAAACGCTTTTACTTTGAATAACCTGTATCAAAATAGAGGGAGCGCGGGAACTTGTGTTTTATTGATCTAGTCTGTATTTTGGGTGACAGACGTTAATAGACAAGCATGGGGCTCAATTGATAGAAGGTATAACATCCAAACAAGATGAGCTGTCGATCTATTTAGCTTTTCTACATTGAGAAATCCACAGACTAAAACGCGTTTAAGCTGATGAAATTTCGATATTACTACAACTTACTTAATATGTAATATGCATCATTTTACATGTTGGAAGTAATAGCAAGGGAATCCACGATTCATTGCGAATTAGAATTAGTCATATTATGATAACCGATCCTGTCAAAAATTACATACTAGTATTCTATTTTATTTTCCTTTAAAAGTTCTATAATTTTTAATTGGCGTAGATTCTCATAAAGACAATTATTTTGTTATCAACTTTACTGGTTCTCTAAAATTACTAGAATATTATATGTTTCTTATGCACATATGCACAATCTGGAAAGATTGAACTCAAACGACCTTAACAATATCCGTTATCTTAAGATATTAAGCATTATTTACACACAACAAAATAATAAATGTATTAAATAATTAAATTATTCCCTTGATAACATTCAAATCTATACCAATGTTATAAAGCTGAAGAGTTTGTTTGTTTTAAAGCGCTACTCTCAGAGACTACTACTTCCAAGTGAAAAAATTATTTTGTAAAGGGCTGCAACCAATAGGATCGAAGATCCAGTGGGAAATGTAAAAAACGAATTTTTCTTTGTGGGATTCCGTAGGGTTTGTTTGTTTGAACGCGCTAATCTGAGAAAGTACTGCTTCGAAATAAAAATATTTCTATGTTGATTAGATCGAGGAAGGATAGTCTTTGTTTTATAACCTAAAGAGGCTATAAAACATTGCGCTGTGACTAAAAAGAGCGGGAAATGTGGAAAAAAGGGACATAATTATTCATATTTGTGGGTTCCCGAGCTTATGCTGTGAAAACGTCCAAGATACCCAAAAAAATGTATGAAAGAACAAATTTCTTTGAACAAACCAAAAAAAAAGCCCACGACAATATATGTCTTCTTTTAAGATTACTTAAAAGACCCGTTTTTATAGTAATTACATTTAGTCGAAATACTTCTTATAACAAAAGAACATTTGTCAGGTGAAATAGTAAACTTATACACTTTAACGGTTCTGACGTAAGACTTTGATATCGACGTTTACAAAATGTCAATGTCAATTATCATGAGAAGTTGAGTTCTCACGATCGACAGCTCGAAAACCAAAGTATTATAATATGTATTACTGCCATTCTGGTATCTTAAGTCAACACCAAGAGCGAACTGTCTAATCGCTCTTATCTTGCGTACCTTTGTTTTAATTGTAATCATGTGCGGTATAGACATAAACAAAACTTTTTTTTTACTATATGCAATCATTACATAGAACAAAGTCGCTTTTTCTGCCCTATGTGCGCTTAAATTTTTAAAACTACGCGACGGGTTTTAATGCGAGTTTTTTATTCAATAGAGTTATGCAAGAGAAAGGTTTTTATATAAAGTCAAAAGTTATTTAGAAAGAAGCTGGAGTGTAATTTAAAAAAAAGTGCTGTACCTACTTGACTGCTTGTACTTTACAAGTACACAATTAAATATGTGTATATTTGTTAAACTTATTTACAAACTATTATAACACACGCGCTTAATAAATGACGTTAGCGTAGCAGTTTTTAGTTTGACATTAGGGACCATCTCGTTAGTCTCTCCGCGACTACGGCTGTTGCAAAACATGCGAAACATGGGGCCGTAGTAAAAATTATTTGTAAATAAGTTTAATCAATACATTTTGCGTGTTAAAAGTATTTTTATTTAAATACAATACATAATTGAAACTTTTATCACTGAATGACTGAAGATTGATGCTTAAGTAACCTACGCGCTTAACAGATGTCGCTAGCGTAACAGTTTTTAATTTAACATTAGGGACACCATTTAGTCGCTCACTTAAACGTCTGTTACATGTGTTTTAATTAGATACTTTACGTCAATGAAATTATAGACAAACGCGTAAGCCTAAATTTTTATTTTAAGGTGTGTTGTGTACGCATCTTTAGGGAAACCCGTTTTAGAGAGAACTGCGTCGCCTGAGTCACACACTCGTTTTGCATATTGCAGGTCAGAAACGGTGAGAGTCGGTTATAAGCACGGCTAATGCGTTCAATTTTAAATAAGCAAGATTACAAGTATTAGTTAAAAGGGTATAAGCACGGGTTAACAAGTGCATACGTGATTTATCTGAAGTTTACTTATCTTACCTACAACAAATTATTTTTATCGCTTTTAACGCGAAAATGTATGGTGACGGTTTCTAAACACAATATCAAAACATATCTGCTACTCTAGCGCCATCTAGTCCTCATGGTTGTCATTGGTAAACACATAACCGTAGCGTAATAACTAAATATGATCACCGTTTTAAGAAGGATTGATTATATTTCAACAGAGTACTTTATTGTTTTACTTAACTCGGACTTCAAAATTATATTATATAAATATTTATTCATTAACTTTTATTTCACTATATTAAAATACATATTACTTTATACTGTCTTCTCTGCAGCAGCCGTGGTCTCAGGGGACCACGACAACGTCCGAAACTTCTAGTTAATATAAATAGTAAATGAGATAAGCAATATATTTCGCGTTTTAAACCATTAAAAGTAAATTTGTTTGGAATTTTATATAATTTAACATAAATATAAGCCATAATACTAAATGAATATAATCATGATTTACAGACTTCTGCTAGATCAAAACTTAGAAATTACCTATAACCTTTTTTTTATACATCCCCTTTTTTCAATATTATTTTATACTAACGTTATCTCATAAGTGAGGGATAAGTTAACAAAATTACAGTTGAGGTAGGTCTAGTACAGTACGTTAAGCGCTTCTTATAATTTTTTGTATTTGCAGTGTAAATCTTCATGATATTGGCTTTTATTAGTAACCTACAGGCTTAATAATGACAAACCTTTGACATTGAGAGATTGATTTTATGAATAAATGACTTGGCACTTCTAGAATCATCTGTTTAGATCATTCAAACAAAATGTAACTCTTGCGCAGTACTTAGTTAATTTGTCACGAGGCTTGTGGAATTTAGATAATAAACATGTTTGTAGTTTACGCGAGTAGTACACATTTAAATAAAACACTTTTAACGGATTTAAACTACGATGTTTCGTATACAGCACCCCCGTGATTGTTGCTACGAGTTAAGTAATAGTGGAAGAAAATAAAAAAAATAGAGACTTATAGATAAACAATGTCTACAATGTCTAGTTTACGCGTGTAGTACAGATTTAAATAAAACACTTAAACGGTTTAAAACGTGATATATATTAGACACCCGTGACTCCAGCTGCTGCGAAGCATCCGAAACATCGAACCGTATTTAGATTTAGTTTGACAAATATATACCGCGTTTTAAACCGTTAAAATGTTTTATTAGACTTGTAGATTATTATAAAACTGCATTAGTATGCGGCGTTAGGCAATTGTCGGCGATATTACGCAACGGCTTCGTGTGGAAGGAATTTTAATGTCAAAAGCATTGAGCAATATCCCATAAGCAACATAATTCCAACATTCTAACATAAAAGCCATAGTGTATGTACAGTGCAGTACAACAAGACCAAATGAATAAAACAATTTATATTAAAATAAAAATAATTATTATCAAAATCAATTCAAATACGACCAAGTTATCTGCGAAAAGCGATAAAGAGTTTATACGTAAATATAACACTTTAACGGTTTAAAACGTGATATAGACAGTATTTTAAAGCTTATACGGTCAAATTTGGAACTTTATTTTTGAAGTCGCCTAAATATCGTGACAGTTTTTGAGCTCGTATCTATGTCTGTTTAGCCCCACTTAAATACGTGTTAAACCGTTAAAAAGTGGTTTATTTAAATAGTTGATCACTAATTTTAAATGTAGACAAGATAAGTTAGGTCAAACAAATATAAGAACTTTTGACTAGCCATGGCCAACTAGATACACTAAGCTTAACAGTGAATCTCTAGTTTTCTCTATGGTATACCCAATGCGGGGCAAACACTATGCTATTTCAATCGATATTATTTAGACGACAGCTACAACTATATATTACGGTTTCCTAGAAACAAGGATAATTTAAATAAAACACTTTAACGGTTTAAAACGCGATATATTAGTAAACTTATTTGAGCTTTGCAGCAGCCGAGGTCACGGGGAGACTAAAGCGTCGGGCCGAAGTTAAAAATAATTTTCAAATAAGTTTACTAATATATCGCGTTTTAAATCGTTAAGGTGTTTTATTTAAATGTGTACTACTCGCGTAAACTATAGACAACAAGGATTATTGTCACTTAACAAAATTTAACCATTAAATTGTAGCAAATTACATTTAACCATTATATTGTTTAAGAGATACAAAGTATGTTTGTACGTAACTTAATTATTCATGCTATGTTGTACCTTGTTGTTAATGAACGTTAGTAATTAAAAAATACGAAAGTTTCCTACGCAAACAGTCAAACAAGTGCTATATTTAGACTTCCGTCTCAGGCTTTCTAGAATTGCTTTTAAATAACTCTCAACTGAGCAAACTTATATTAATGATCTCGAATGATCTATGTTATTGACTTTCATAACTAACTTCTTATATAACTGTGAGCCTGAAGCTTAGTAAAGCTTAGAACGAACACACTTTTGTGTCCGTTTCACTGAACAATTATATATTGATAGGGAAGGAGTTAACCAGACTCCTGTGCTCTCAGGACCCAGGAGCTCTCGCGCTTAACGTAATGCTAGGCAAAACGTTTACCTATAGCTATATCCTTGCAGTCCTATAAGATCTAATTAAGATGTGCTATCGATCTATTTGGGTTTTGCGGATTCGGAAGTCTAAAGACTGTAAAGCAATCCACAGACAGTCGACAGATCAGTACCAGCAGAATCTGAAATATGAGATTTATTAAACTAACACTAGCAGTTTGGCCGTAAACATTTTAATTTCTACACACACACTTCCAAACATTTTTCTTTAGATTTTGCGAGGCTTTAAATAAAGAGTTAAATAACGAGGAAAAACCTACTTTTAAATAGATAAATTCCTCTAAAAAAGTAAAGTTTTAAGACTAATAAAATATTTAATTTTTTTTATTTTTCCAGAAACTTGTAGAATGAATTGTTTATTTACTTGACACCATTAGTTTTGCAACCAAGTAGTCCTTTCCGTGCATATTATCGATGTAAAGATATATTTGGCCTAGGCACTCGTCCACAAGGATGTTTCAATTACTTCCTAAATTTGGAATGGGAAAATTACTTCCCCATGTTTAAGCAGTTGCTGCCCCCGTGACGCCTACATCGCTTACTACTTTGCCGTCCTAGCGGTTTGAGCGGCGACGACAAGTCTTTTTTCGAATACTTAACTTTCGAATTGGGAGTTCAAATTGAACAATTCAAAAAGTTATTGAAGCAGTTTCAAATAGGAAATAATTTTTTATAAGGCCAAAGTAAATAGATTTAATTTTATACAATAATACAACAGTTATTATGCCATAAGTATTATAGTAAGACAATTTCTATCGTGGCACTTTTTATAGCTAATTATACGTTCTGCTAAATCATAGTACATTTATTTGTTCTATAATCAACAGCTTCCACAGCGCATGCGACGAAAGATTGTTATAGCATTTTTTCACCTTGGGTTTCGTTAGTTCAGTAAGGATCCCTAAATACTGTCTATAGTTTACGCGAGTAATACACATTTAAATAAAACACTTTAACGGTTTAAAACGCGATATATATTAGTTAACCTTATTTGAAAATGATTTTTAACTTCGGATGCTTTGCAGCAGCCGTATTCACGCCGTAGTTTTATTTAAAAGTGTACTACTCGCGTAAACTAAACCCTACTCTTTTCTAGTAATAAATATAACCTATGTTACTCAGGGTGGATATACCTTTCTAATGGTCAAAGATTTTTTTAATCGGCTCAGTAGATTTTGTGCTTATAAACATACACAGAAAATTACAAACTTTTCCTCTTTATAATATTAGTATAGACATGTAGGCCTAATAGGAAGTGACGTCACAATCAGCCTCGTGTTTATAAACATGAGGAAACGTTGCGATACAGAGGTTAGCTACATTTACCCATATATCATTTGTATTTATTAATTGAATGAATAGCAGTTGTCAACTCGATTATATTCCATCAGAGGTTAGTAATAGAGATTAAATAGAACATTGCAGTGGACGGCAACAGAGGCATTGAAGTACGAATGTGTGAATGTGGGCCGATAGAGGCATACATACATATATCCATCAATACCTAGTCGCGACCAAGGGTTGTAAAGTACTTTTCGGTAGTTTTTTTTCGCGCCAAAGTTTTTTCTTTACTTAACAGCTTTTTTTTCGAAATTTAAATTAAACCTTTGATATGTTACCTCTTTGGTCGCCATGTTGTAGAGTAGTAGACCGTTCCATTTTTAAATTAAATGACTTATATATGATTTGACGATTTTTATATGTATTTTCATATTAATTTATTTGAAAGCTAAATACGAAAGATATGTATATATTAAAATAAAACACTTTAACGATTTAAAACGCGATATAATAGTTAAACTTATTAGAACAATATTTTTAACTTCGGCCCGACGTGTCCGACGAAAGATTCTCATGCTATTGCCGGCCGTTGCTCGACTAGTATAGAAAGTTCGATTTATCTCAAAGAATCGTTGTCTTTATTTAAGAGTACGTCTAAGCGTGTTGCGTTGTTTTGTCAGGCAAATGGTAAAACAAACTGTAGTGACAACTGATATGAATCATAGTAACGGTAGTCTATGCGGAACCCATACTACAAGAGCCTGCAATGAACCGGTTTTTGACATATCTAGTAATTTTAATATTACAATATTATATTCTTATTTCTTACCCATTAAAGCCATGAAGAATTGGTTGGCAATGCCGCCATCTTGGAATTTTGCGAACCATCTCAGCGGCAGCAAGTCGAGCATAATGATTTCGTCTCAAGCTATTTTCGCATTTTTTATCTGTAACAAATAAACAAACATGCAATAAATATGTTTTATACTTTATTATATAAATCACTAGACAGACAAACAGTTATTCTCAGATATTTTGATGGGTTCGGTGATACAAGAACAATCAGTGCGTCGTGGATTCGATCCCTACGGGGTCCAAAATGTTTTTAAGCATTTAATTTTTTTCTGAAATACGTTAGCACTTTCTTTGGAAATCTGAATATTAAATTCGTAAGAATAACCGAAAGTCCGTCCGGGTCACAAACCATCGTCAATAGATGAAAAGCCGCGAAGTTTAATCGCGTTTCGGTTTTAGTCTGTGGATTTCCGAATATCCAAACTCAAAATAGGTTGAAAGCATTTAGATCTTATATGACTGAGGTATTTCACCTACCATCAAGTAAACCCTTAGGATAGACGAGGATATACCAGATCCTCGTCTATCCTAAAAAAATATCAAATCGAATTATAGGTACCTATATTTTTCATTTAAAACTATTATAAATAATTCATGGGTTGTATGTTTAACATCTATTAGTTAGCTTAACTATTTAAAAACGTTATTAGTAATCTATACTAATATATAATGCTGAACACGTTGTTTGTTAGTTTGTTTGAACACGTTAATCTCAGGAACTACGGATTCGAATTGAAATATTATTTTTGTGTTGGTTAGAGCATTTATAGAGGAAGGCCATAGGTTATAAAACATCGCTCTGTGATTAATAAATGGTAAGATACAGCGGGAAATGTGAAAGAAAAGTTTCTGTAGCGTATTTAGTATCAACATTGCACCCGAGCGAAGCCGGTTCGGGTTCTAGTTACTAATTACTTAAATATGTGTGTGTCTGTTTGTCATAAGACTGACACGTTACAATGTCCTTTTGACTAATCGATTTCTTTACAGACAGGGGATCTGGGCCCTTCTCGACCTAATTTATTTATTGTTTGTTATTTTACATCCATATTGTATCGACAATATCGCTCCTAGAGTATGTAGGAGCATATTGTCGATACAATGTGTCAAACGTGTGGTCAAATGTCAGATGAAGAAATAAAGTTAGTTCGTATCCGTGACTCAAGTTTAATTTATTAGATTGTTCACTAGGATTCGAACCTAGAACGTCTTGTGAGAAATGCAACGCTTTTAAATTAAAACCTCGTTGACAATTAACACGGCATCAATTATCTTACTCTAGCCGATCTTACTCGTACTTGCGAGATCTGAAATAACTGAAATCGACTGCACTGCACCGGAATCAGTCAAGAAATCAAATGTTAATTTATTTGTTTGTCTCTAGTTTGCGGATGTATTGAGTAATAAAATGAACTTACTATTACATTTTGTATGATGAGGAATGAAATTAAAATGAGATCAACAAAACTTCGAGTCTTTTTGTTAACATTTAAATATTAATTAATAGTTATCTATACTTATTTCTTTATTACTAAACTATTGACTATTAAGTATTATTAATTATTGACTTGCTCTGCTATCCACAGCCTGCAGCCGAAACGCGATTAAATTTCATGGCTTTATCAAAGGTGTGAAGAACTCGTCGTTGAGTATTTCAAGTAAACAACTACGTATTATAATATAAAAATGTGACGCGTTTTCTAGCATTGCATAAAACGAATGCTTGCTTGGTTCGAGTCACGGTAAAAATTATATTGTTTGAATCGATTAGGGCTTATAAGTTTAATAACTACTTGGCTTATAAATAAATTACGGACACAGAAATGTGTCTAGTCCATATAGGGCAAAGAGCAACAAAGGTTTTATCAGTATTTGTGATTGTGAATCATCACTATACACATTTTGTTCGTCCTTGTACCTTCTAAAGGAATGTTTACCGAGAAAAGGTCACACCGAGCTTTATTCTCCGAAACTATCTAATCGTTATCTTGTAGGAACTGTTCGCGACAAAAAAAATATACGTTGAAAAAACATAGACACGTTTAAATACTGTCTATAGTTTACGCGAGTAGTACACATTTAAATAAAACACTTTAACGGTTTAAAACGCGATATATTAGTTAAACTTATTTGGAAATGATTTTTAACTTCGGCCCGACGTTTCGGATGCTTTGCAGCAGCCGTGGTCACGGGGAGACGGTGTTTTATTTAAATGTGTACTACTCGCGTAAACTATAGACAGTATTAAATGAAACATAATTGCCGTTTGATGAAATTCTTGAGAGAGTTATCAACATCAATCATGAGTCATATAATTTTCTCGTTATCTAACGCTAAACGTAAGTGACAGGCTTCAAGAGTTATCATTCTTTATATTTTACCTAGCTTTAACTGCCACGATACAATCTGTAATTGGAGAGTAGGAAACTGAACTATATATACATATATATTAAAACATTATAACCTCTTCAAGCGATAAAGACAAACGGAGTAGCGGCGAGTTTATTGCCAGTTCATAAGTGTAGGTACCTAGTTACCTACGTGATTTTCGACTTTGACTTCATTGTTACTAAAAAGCACTTGATACAACTGTAAGGCCTAGCCTATGCCTAAGAAGGTTTATATTATATAGTGCGTTAAGTGCATTTAGAAAAAAAATATACCAGCTATAAGACGCTTGTTGCAATTATTTTTCTCCCTTTTCCGACCAAATCCAGGACAGCCAAGTACTGAGCAGATCTGGTCAAAAAATGGCAGAAGGATGTATTCTTAATATTATTTGACTGCTTTTGACTGTTTTTTTTCCTTCTAGACTAAAACCTGGTACCAAGAGTTGATCAGATAAAAATGGTACATCCTAACCGACTAATACTAAAGTCCTACTTGTGTGCCACACACACCACATATTAATGACCATTAGTATAATCCATTAATTAATGGCCGCAGCAATTCAGATGCGATTAATATTCACGAAACTTCCACAATCCTATTATTTGTTCTAACAATCGATTAATTTGATGCAGATAATCGATTTTCTCTACTGATTTAGCCAGAACTAGATAAAGTACAACGTTTGCATTAATTGCTCCCTTTTAAGCTAGATTTAGTGTCCAAATACATTTTAATATAAAATCGTTTTTAGTTTATTAAGTAATGTATTAATCGTAATGCTTAGAAATGTATTAGTATATTATGTAGTAGATCCCCATCGGTCCAAAATGTTTGTAATTTTTTAATTTATAATTTGTTCTGAAGCATGTTGGACTTCGTCTGGAATTCTGGTAGGAATAGTGTATAGAAATTCCGACCGGGTCACGGACCACCGTCCACAGATGTAACAGCCGTGAAGTTTAATCACGACTGTTTCATCTGTGGAGGTTTCAGTCTGTGGATTTCCGAATATCCAAAGCCAAAATAGATCGATAGCGCATCTTGTTTAGATGCTATAGGCTGGGGATTGCACCTACACAAGTGAACCACACGCTTGTCTGTCCTTCACTATAATTAATAAAAATAACTAGTATATTTCGCGTTCTGAACGGTTAAAAGTATTTAATTGAATGTGTAGCGTAAAATTAAACACATCAGTTTTTAAACTACAGACAATAATTTTGACCTAATCAATACAAATAAATTTTCAGTTATTCTTTGCAGTTTCTAAGATAGTAGTATTCACACTTCTTTGACTTCACGTGTTTTAACTGCATGTCATTCAATATCCAGGCGACACACGTGATATTTAACCAGTATGTCAATGTCACCTTATCTGTATAATCTGTAACCACAGATAAAACAACATCAAAAGGGTTTCACCTTCTTATTAAACTATTATCAATTACAATGCCATAATTAAGAAATGTTTATGTTAAGTACTCGAGATTAGGAAATGTACTGTAGTGTATTATTTTTAAAATTTTATCCTATACCAATATTAAATTCAAGCCGCGTTTTAATCACGAAAGTTTTTTCAGTCTGGCAGGGTATAGAAGTCTAATAAACTACTTGCTTGTAAAGTCAATTGGCGAAAAAGATACAGAAATGTGTTTGCCCAATGCCCCACAGAAGGTAAATGGGATGTCACCCCATTTCCCATTTTCTCTACAGAGTCCTGCGGGACACAGACAGTCTACAGGACCATCTGCTTTCCCCTCTCTTTCGAACGCCACTGATATAAATACAATAAAATTTTAGCTAAATTATTTTTTATATAATATAAAGCGTTCGCCTTTTTTTCCAATAAAATAATTTAAATGAAGTGCGTTATAAGACTGAACAATAATATAAAAACAAAATTAATGGTTTGATTAATTTATGGTAATCGCAATGTAGGTAACTGCAAATTATTATATTTTGGTAAACGACTTAATCTATACTAATATTATAAATGCGAAAGTAACTCTGTCTTTATGTCTGTCCGGGTTTAACTCCGAAACTACTGAACTGATTAAAATGAAATTTGGTACACAGATATTTTAGAGCCTGAGAAAGGACATAGGACATTAAGGACATAATTTCAAAAAAGGGTTGATAGTTTGTATGGAAATTCGTAGTTTTTGAAGGTAGAACAATGAAACTTTCTTCTTTGGATTTTTGGAAACAGGAGTGGGAGTGAGTGTAGGAATGAGAGTGGGAGTTAGAGTAGGAGTGATGTGAGGTGAGAATGTTTCGGCAAAGTAACACTCACAACACACAACATAGATTGGCTGCCTTAAATGCGCCCTTATATAAATTAATAAACAGCCTAATTAATTAAAAATTCTTCCCCAAGTCACTATTCCACGGAGTCGCGTGCACAGCTAGTTTATAATAAAACTTAGGAGACTATTAAGTCATAACTTTTGTAATAGCTAGCTAGTCAGCTACACACTACCTTTTTTAACCGCATAGCTTAGACCAGGGGTATTTACACAGGTAAAACCCTCAGGAAACTCTTGCGCAAGTTTTGTCGACAATAAATTAGATATTTTCCTAAAAACACAGCACATGTTATAGGCGTATCTATGCATTAACCTCGATCTATAACATGTTTCATTGCAAACCGGAATTTAGCGGCAGT